GGCTCCCTGCTGCTTCCACCTCTCCTCTGGTCCCTCCTTCCGGGAGTTCCGGTTAGAACAGGTGGGTAGGCTGGATGACACGGGAGTCCCGCATGCCTGGATAGATGTCGCTGTAAGGGAGTTCCTTACTATGTGGCATGGGTTACATTATGAATTGGACTTACAGGTGTTCGATGGGGGAGTTTCTGGGCGAACCCACTCGCCCGCGAGAGGTTGTGTTCATCAGGTTGGCAGTCGCTGCCAGGAACTTTGGGCTAGCGGTGTTTTCTACCTCACCCTCAATATTCATGATTAATTTGTGTGGATTGTAATTTTGTGTTTACACATGGTCGGTCGAGAGAAGCCTTATTCTGAACTGAAGCACTCGACACCGGTGTTCGTCTTTTTGTGTTGATTCGCAGGTTTAGCAGGCATTAAAGTTGTGTAGTTATGGGTTCTTCTGCCATACAGCGGGAAGACATCCAGTTTCTCGTGAATAACGTAAAATTCAAAAAGAATAATGGATCCCTATGCATCACGGAAGGAGGAGTTGGTTGGGCACCGGAAAACTCTCAGGAGCTTTCTCTCACTTGCAAGTATGGTGAGATCAAAAGTATGTCTCCGGTGAGGAATACTTTTGTTTTTGAGAACTAACGTTGTGACCATTTTACAGCCGTCAAAGTTTCTCCAGACGGAAAAGCGAAGGTGCAAGCGCAGCTGGTGATGAACCAAGGATCGTCGATTAACTTTCACTTCGTGAATCCCCTCGGAGTGGAACATCAACTTAAGGATCGAAATGAAGTGAAAGAGCGTATTATGCAGAAGTTACCGAAATTCCGCGTGGCTGTGAATAAAGAACTTGAAGAGAAGAACAGGTAATGTAACATGATACCCGAGCCGCCGTGAGCTGTAGCATAACTTTTTTGAGGATTCCCCAGAATACTTGCCAGTAATCCCGCACTACTTGAACTCTACAAAGAGCTTGTGATCAATTACGTTGTTACGTCAGAAGAATTCTGGGCCAATCATGCCCCTGCTTATTTGCAACTTTCCACGGGGGCAAAGACGGAACAGCCACCTGAGCAGCAAACTGGCATCTCGGGGGCCTTCTTGGTGAGCACGCCGTGTTTGAATCTTTCAAAATTTCCGAATATTTCGTGTGATGAAGCGATGTGTCGTCCGTTCAATCTGTTGATCACAGGCGGAAGTTAAACCTGAAACAGATGGAAACAATGGCATTCAGTACAAGTTGACGACGGACATAATTGATTCCATCTTCCGAACGTACCCAGCTGTGAAGAAGAAACACATGGAATGTGTTCCTGACAAAGTTTCGGAGTCGGAATTCTGGACCAAGTTCTTCCAGTCTCATTATTTCCATCGCGACCGTGTGGGCTATTCATCATCCGACGTGTTCGCGGATTGTACTAGGAGAGATGACCGAGACGTTCGCAAAGAGCTCGTGAATTTGAAAGACAATCCGTTGATAGATTTACGATCGTTCGAAGATGGTGTTTGGGTTGACAACGGCGAGGAAGATCCTCTACCAGTGAAAAAGTCTTCCAGTGTTCCTTTGACGCACAAAAGCATGATTCGAAGATTCAATCATCATTCGATGATGATTTTGAAGGCTGGGCAACGCGTGGAGCAGAAAATTTCGCAGAAGGACGAAGTACCCGGAGCGAAGCGAAAACGTGAAGATGAGGAATCTGTTGTTAACGTTGACAGTGGTAGAAGTAACAGAATCAGGAAACAAATCATGGAAAAAATCTCGCTTGACGATCTCGAACCAGAAAAACCTCGCAACAATGCCATGCTTCAAGTTGATTTGGATGCTGGTCGTTATGCTTGTGTTGAACAACGATTAGGAACACCTCAAATGCATTTACAGTGGCATGATGCCGTTAAGAGAAAGCTTGTGTCCGAGTGGCCTGCAAGGAAACATTTTGGAGCATGCATGGTGGATATGAAGCATAAAACCTCCGTCATCCAGCCGGAAGCCGCGTGGGAAGTTTTGAAGGAGTTTTCCGCCGAAGTTTCAAAAAGGTCCGAACAGAGCGGTGAAACTGTTTTCCGTAAGTTCATTATTTCACTTATAAAATGCAATTATTCGGTGCTTTTTCGTTGAAGCTTCCCCGACTCATTTTTGGTATTGCCCTTAATTGAAACACTGATTTTTTATTAGACTGAGCTACTGCTAGAAGCTCACTACAGTTGAACCTCGATGACTGGAACCTCTCTCTGTCAAATACCTTCGTATTTTGAATCTTTTTCAAGTCCCTGTCTGAACTCCTTGTAAATCAGAGCATTGGAAACTTCGCGAACTCGATGTCTCTCCTCCTTAAACCTCCAAAACTCGAATTACTGGAGGTCTTCTAGCTACAGTATTACAGTATTTTATTGACACAGCAAAGAGGAAAGCAGTATGAAAGTAACGTGATGTGTTTTGAGAGGAAGTGAAAAACTACTTGGGCAAATGAACCCTTGCCTCTAAGTTTAACAAATAAGCCTTATAATATCACCAATTATAAATTCCTGTATTTCTCCTTTCTTTCCCGCAGCAAAAATGCTTGTTCCCCTTACTCGAATCTGTTTGCCTTTCCCTGCAAGTTCGACTCAATGATGTTTAATTGTACTAAATTTTGTTGGAATTTCGCTCGTGTTTTGTGCGTAGCAGCAGTTGTATTGGATTAAATTTCAATCTGGCGTGACTTCGATTCGATTCAGACATGATTGCACCGGATATTCAGCAAGAACTCATCAATGTGAACATTTCGCTGATGGAACTCCTGCGGCATTTCTGGTCCTGCTTTCCGGCCAGAACTCCTGATCTGGAAGCCAAAGCCCATAGGATGAAGGAAGCGCTCGATAGATTCCTGAATACTCGGTTAAGGCCCCTCGAGGTATGCTTTTGTTCACGTTCCAAGTGTGTCGTATTTCTGTAAAATTTCGATCGACAATCCCATTCCGACGATGGATCAGAATTCTTGCCAGTTCTGCATCTCCTATTATCAGAATACTGCTGAAGCGAAATGTAATCCTTTTCTGGGGCATGATTCGAATGTTCGTCCATTCTGGTTGTCGTGAAGGATATAATGAAGAGGTTTGAAAGTTCACCCCATTCTCAGTTTGCGAAGGAAATTTACCCGTGATTACTGGCTGTTCTGTGATATAATAGGTTGTCAAAGTGCAACCTAATATTCTTAACGAGTAACTTTTCAGAGTGTCCAAATTTCAAATCACGTTGCCCCATACACTTCAATGGGAACATATTTAAGTGATTCTCCTGTTCAACAGAAATAAGGAATTAAGTCCCCAAAACATTAACAAAAAAAATGTTTTTCAATTTCAAGTGGCAAAAAATAACTGTGCTGAAGAAAACCGCGCACAATCTATTATTTTGGCATTAGTAGAGCTGAAGAAACCAAGAACAAGAACTAGTCTTGCTCTACTGTGCAAACGTGATGGAGAAAACTCAGGAAAAAAAAACCAGATCAGCCTGTTCTTGATAATGAATTAGCGCGATTTTAGCAAGCTGAATAATGAAATTGACTGTATTTTTAATATTTGTGAATATAAATGGCGAAATTTGTTCAAGAGATATCAAAGTACTGTATAGAAAAAATTCACTTTCCAATTTATCTAGAAGTAGTGGAAAAGTGTCCGTATATCAAGGCATTGCCCGGAGTTCGTGGCATATTTTTTCAGGTTCAAGTGTCCCTAAGTCGAATTGTTCATACGTTGTATGTCAGGGTCCCAGTGTATCACCGTATGCATTTAGTTCGTGAGCGTATTCGTAAATATCGATGGTTGATTCCAGGATCGTGTGCATCGTGATCATTTGATACCGAACGACGTGGTGAAACATCCGATGAAGATGTTGGAAATGGCATATGAAAAGTACAACGCTTGGCAGCAACGACTCACCACTCAGCCGAAGCTGAGATGATGCGCCAAAATCGTCCTGGTGATTGTGATAAGCCTAGCGAAGGAATTAGCTGGAGAGACTCAAACTTTTTATACCTTTTGCTCGACTTGCTCACGTCTCGAAACGAGTTCGGAATAAAAATCCAGCGGGCAATAATTTTGTATTTTAATCTCTGAATTCTTTGACTTTCTCCAATGCCCGGCTTGCTTCTTCGCTTCTTTTTTTATTTTTTAAATCCCATGATTGGGCAGAATGAGCTGTGATGAATTGAAACAATTTTTTGATGCGTACAAAACCTGGGTGTGCAAAAATGTCGAGTTGGTTGGCGAATTTGAAAATCTTCTGAAGCTCGCGTCATATTTTGTGTCAGGTTGGTGCCTTCTCTTTTCTCGTTCAGGATGTTGAATTGATCAGGACATGTTTCCGTAGGAAAATGTCCGCAAGCGCAATGGGTCTCCGAACTGGTGTATTCATTGGGCAACTTCGTGACATTGGTCAACGACTGTCTGTTACGCATTGGGAAAGGAGAACCTTTTGATAATAAGGTTGATCTTCATCGAAATAGTGGTTGGATGAAAGTTGGTCTCGCTGTGCTGGAATACGTCGAAGTTTTTCTGGAAACCTTTGCAGAAAGATTCCTGGGAAAGCGTGGGAAGTGGTGTATTGTGCTGATTCTGCAGTTATTGAGGTAGTGTAAAATGGTTTTCCGTATCTCCTATGTATTTTGTATGATTCCTATTCAAGTGATTCAACAAAAAAAGATTATGCCCTGAATTTAAACGAAATGAGATTGCACGAGTGTTCCATGTATTTTCGGAAAAAAATTTATTTCCACTTCAAATCAAATTTTCTCTCAAGGAAAGCATCATTCGGAGGAAATGAAATGCTAGCAAAATCTACGTAAATGCGACGAAATCAGACAAAGAGACATTCTCCGTTGCTCTTAAAGTGTGATAGCGTTTTACGAGATCAGTTATTTTGGCACTGCAGGAAACCCTGAAAATCGATCATCTCCTTTTTTTTCGTCTTTTAGATCGGTTTGGCGCGTGGCCCTGCTCATATGCGGAAGATGGCGATTAGTTGTAAGTCCGGCTGTGAAACCTCTTCCGCGGAAAAGCAAGATGGATTATTTAAAACCGGTCAGCTGCGAAGTATCCCGTTTGCGACGATCGAATAGATGTTTGCGGAAATTAGACGGAGGTTGGACCTAGTTGTAATTTTCTCAATACTGTCATGGCCATGCTAATGATTTGTGTTTTCGTGATTTCAGCACCTCCTGCATCCTCAAGATCGTGGAAGCCGATTTACTCTGAACCGGTGGACAGTGGTTCATCCGTACCTAATTTGTCCTCTAAGCAGCTCACTGCTGAGGTTTGTGAATTCTTGATTATTCGTGATTTTATTCTTCTTTGAAATAATTCTCAACATTCAAAAAATCATCTTTATGTGGTGAAGGGCCTTGCGCATGAAAATGCTCGGAAGGAACGCGTTGGGGAAAATGAGCCAGTATGATTTTTTTTTTAATAAAATCTGAAGTCGAAGAATTCTGGCTGCGTCACCTCCATGCTCGACCTTGTTTACTTGAGTGTGGGACAGGTGTCGCCGGGATTCCCTTGTCTTCCGCAAAATATCGCCGGCGAGCTTCAATTAATCCAACTCATCCTAATCCGAACAATCGTGACGTAAACTAATCGAACAAATCTAAACTAAACATGGACTGAAGAAAATCGTTCAAAAGTTTGCCGCCACTTGTGTGTGATGGCAGAATAAATCACGGAATTGGCGATGTCGAAAGCAGAAGGGAAATGAGTGGTATTCTTGCTTTTGGGATGGCAGCATGTACCGTAAACAGAATTGTTCTGGAACGTGCTGTATGTCTAGGTTTCTCTTGGAAGTTGTCTCGAAACGGTTTTTCTCCCGAAGCTAATCAGAGATGCGTTAATCGAGTTTTTGATGGAATTTACAGGAAAATCTGAATCCTCCGTTGCAAATCCCGTGTGTCGGACGAAATGAGAATTGTAATCAGTGTTCGCAAAATTCGTTCTGGAATTTGTTTTGCAGCTGATCTACGTTGTGAAGCCTTTGGCACATTTGGCGTTGCTTTTTCGGTGTGGATCCGCGTCGTGGAAACCTTGGGTAGGCTCGCTTGCAATGGACTGTGTCTCACTGGCATTGCATCGCCAGGAAGCGAGTCGCCTGCGAGGCGACGAAAAATTTGAGCTTATCAGCCGCGCAGTGTTTCTTTTGGTGTATCTTCTCCGATCTCCGATGTACGACAGGTGTACAAAAACGAAAATCTTGAGCTTTCTCGCCAAAGCATCTGCAAAGTCTAGATTATTGCGGTACGTTTGCGACCCTGTGGGAAATTATCTGCCGGAATGGCAAAAGACTTATTTCCGCGTGTGGTCGTCGTAGTTACTGGTGCACTACTGTCAATTTTATCGAGGGATATTTGAGGTTACTTATTTCAGTTTCATTTTTGTAACGGATTGGGAATAAAATTGCAACTTGATGGAATGAATTTTCTTTGAAAAAAAAAAGTCTAGAAGCCTTTAGATAATTTTCGAATGGCTTTTATAGAAATAATTCCAAATTTTCGCTGCATCCCATGATTTTCTTCTTTTTTGCTTTTTGGCTTTCAAAGCTGTAATTTGCTTTCCTATAAGAGCTGCACATCATAAGGGTGAGTACGAGGGTTGGTTCAAAAATTTTGAGATCTTTTTCAAGTACAGTAAATCGAACAGAGTCTTGACAATTACATTTTTTTTTTACTCGCACAGCCCCATCTTTTAAAAACATTTCAGTGATGTTCAACATACTCTCCGCCGATTTCAGTGCCTTTTTTTCATACAATAAATCCGAAGATCAAAGCAGTGTCAAAAATCGAGTTCTGTCAGTTGATCAGGCCCCCTGTGACTTCTGGCTGTTCCCGAGAATGAAGAACAGCGTCAAAGAGCAGCTTAATCTATCAACGGAACTCGGATTCATGGCATTGTTTTGATCGATGGATTTATCGCGTGAAAATATGCCCTGAAATATTGCCAAATCACGGGGCTTGTGAGTACTGTACAAATTATTATTATTTTTTTAAACTCAGTTGGATCTACCGGTATTTCAAAAAAGTCTCAGAACGTATGAACAAACCCTTGTAACAAAATGAGCAAGTGCGTGAAAGTTCAGATGATGTACGAGAACTGCTCAAAAGAATTACAGTATTTTCGGATTACCGTACCAAGTCTTCTTTGTTGTGTCAATTGGGAAAAATCGCGACGTAGGTAATGAACAAGCGAATCACGTGAGATCAAGGTTTTGTTCCGCCCTCTTTTGTGCATGTGCGCTTCTATTACTTTTGGTATAACTTCCCAAAACAAAATGCCTAATTTTTCCACATGCTTTTCTCTTGTTTTAATCTACCTCATTTGCGTGGGTTTATTCGTGATCGTGAATGATTTCTGAATAGGCTGACCTTCCACTGGTTATATAAATGAAAATCGGATCCGTCCGTCTTTATGCTTCCCGACATTAACCTTGAATGCCTCATGATTTCGAAACTTGCAGTTAGATGCGATTAGAGTGGGTATCGTTGCGACACGAAATATTTGCATATTAAAATGAACGCCACGGAGCGGTCTCATCGGAAGCATCAACCCGAATCAAGTGAGTCTCGTGCATTCATTCGTTGTTATCATCTGTAACGCAACACTTCTCATTGTATAGTTGAATACACATTTGTTTCCCCGTCTTCTCTGGAGCAACGAATCAGGAATGCTTGGAAAATTGGGAAATTGTGCGACGTTTGCATCGTGTGTGCGGATGGCGGCGTGAGAGCGCACAAGCTCATCCTCGCTTTGCACAGTCCGTACTTCGACCGGCTTCTGCAAATGCATGGGAATCTTCGCATGAATCGTAAGCAGCAAGCTTTGATCCGCTTGGCAAGCTACCAGAAGTGTCATGTTGTAAAGTGAGTTTTTGAATAATTATCAATCTTTTCGTAAGTCGCGATTCACCGTGAAGTGCGGCTCGAAATTCAATGTTGATCACATTATTTATTGAAGAATTGTCAGTAAAATATTTCCAACTCTCTTCGATGGAATTCTACGCAACATTTACGAATAAATTCCTCTTATTTTGAACTTACTTTGCTTTTAGTTTCCTATACTGTACAGATCTCGAAGAAAAAATAATGAAGAAGTCAAGTGTAAGAAGTGCCTCCTCCCCAAGCCATCCATTGAAGCACGGCAATTTGTTGTTTTATTAAGAGGTACACCCTCACGACTTCCTGTATTTTCTCCTTTGAAATAAAGAGGTACTGTACTGTATTACGAAATTCTCAAAAGAGTCGAAAAAGTTTTAAGAAAAACATTGTGCTGTTTATTTTTTTTAATACGTTAAGTGCTACATTTTCTTTTAGACAAGCTTGGATTTTTGATGAGCTTTAAATGATGCAAAAGTTGCATTTTTTCCCATTCTCTCTTAGTGATGAAATAATTCCTATGGTCAATTCGTAGAAGCAGGGAAAAAAATTCGATATATTTTTCTGAGATTTCTGCTATCAAATAGCTCATTAGAACGAGATTGTTATGAAATTTTTCTTGTAAAAACACTGCTTTGTGTCTTCTTTGTAACGAGATTCGTTGTAAGGGAATTTCGCTGTATTCAAGTATTTTGATTGAAGGTTTATTACTATGAAAAGTTCCCTGATGAAGTTCAAGATGAGCTGATCGACGAGGTAATCTAAAAACTGTAAGAAGACTCATTTTAAATTTTAAATACATTTCGACTGCCTGATATTTTTTTCTGCATTTAATGAAGGCCCTTTGATTTCCTTTTAGTCTCCTCCGGCTTTTATACGGAGAAGATGTGAGAATCGAATCTGAATCGGCGGAGCGTTTCGCCGACTTGCTCAAGCTTTGTTCCGTGAGAGGCATTGAGAAAAAGCGGGTGGAAATCGACATGTCCGAGCTGGAAGAAATGATATTTTGTGAAAATGACGACATAAATCCGGCCATCGAGGAAAGTGATTCATCAGACTCGGAAATCGAAGAAATACCGCCCTGTCCGAGTCTCGGTGGTAAAGTCGCGCGTGGCAAAGTGGTACATGAGAAAGCAAAAGTGGCGGCGAATGCGACTGCAATTCCACCGGAGCCCAGACCTTCTGTCGGACAGTCTTCAGAGCTAAAAGCGGTGGAACCTACTTCGCATAAACCATCAGGAGGCGAACGTGTGAAACCAAGTTCAGCGAAAGATCGTGCAGGTCTTGGTAAGTAACATGATTTATTTTTGCTTCAAGATCCAAATTTCTCCTGTCTGGAAGGTCAGACAGGTTTCGCCAGCACAATCTTCTACTTGAGAGTTGGTCTCTGCTCAACGCCTGTAATGTATTCCTTTGGGAGGTTTCATCAACTAGAGTCAAACCTAAATAAGCCACCACTATTTGTTCGTCGTGATTTAATGGGCTTGGTGATACTGTATATAAAAAAAGTTAAAATAATATGAAAATCTAGTAAAATTGGGAATAAAATTCTTTTTCTTCTATAAAAAAACCCCCGGGGATAAGTAAATTGTATAAGCGAATATTCCCGAGAAGTACTCGTAAATTATGTAATTTTTGTGTTTAAATTGGTGACCTTATAGAAGCTTGAATCTTGTTGGCGGGCTATCGAAGACAAAATTAATTGGCCGGAGCGTATTTGAGTTGTCAATAATTTAGGTGCATTGCGTTTTAACGGGATTTCCAATGCTATTATTATGAGGGAAGAGTTTGTTTGTCTAAATAAATTGGCAGTTGCCAAAAATAGTGGCTTATCATTGGGCGTCTTAACGGGGTTTGACAGTAGATTAATCATTGAGCAGAATCCAATTCCATGTAGGGTTCTATTCCTGAAAAAGAAAAATTTGTTCTCCCAATGGAGATAATTCACCCGCAAAATCGTTTCTACATCCGGATTTTTAGGGAAATTACACTCAGCTTCTTATAACGTGCTGGGAAGTTAGATTTTGCCGGTGAATAGGGGAAATTCACGCCAATCCATGAATAGAAAAGCAAAAAAATAAGCTAAAGCTGAGAGTTGAAGCGGGCTACTTTTCCCGTAATTTGTACGTCATGTTGCTTAAGATTAGGTGTTGATTAATTCAGTTTGTCTGTTTCATTCTCAGTCTATAATTGAGTGTGATGGAAAAGGATGAAGTAATCCACCTAAATCAGAACTAGTCCGAACTAACTGGATGTTGTTTTTCTTATTTCATTCATGAAGTTTTTAATACTGTAGAAGCAGCAAGTCGGAAAGCGAAGGAGAAATCCAGACAGGATGCCGTGAAGCAGGATCCCTCGAAGCGCGCTAAAGATGAACCTGCAGTGCAGAAAGTTGCTTCAAGAATGGATAACAGTTCGTCGTCTAGTTCGAGCGACGATTCGCCGCAGAATGAAGATGATGTAATTCTAGTGGCATCAGACACTGAGACGTTGGATGAAAGTGTTCTGCAGATTGGCGAAAATACCCCGAAGAAACAGGATTCTGAGCTACAACCTCATCACCTAATGTATTCATTGCCACGTTTTAAAAGAGAACCTTTGCGACAAGATACTGTTTCAAGATTAAAAAATAATGTTCAGTCGAACGGCACGGGAATTTCAAGACAGGCTATGGAAGGTACCTTTTCATTGTTCGTTGTTAAAAAAAAAGTGGAAGATTCAATCTTATGATGTTGACCGACAATTTCAAATTCTTCAGGAAAACCGCAACATTTCAGCAATTCATCGCCTCGCTTCAAAAAAGAACCTTCGCGGCAAGATGCAGTTTTGGGAATGGGAAAAAGTGTGCAGCCGAACACAAGCAACTTTTCAGTACAAAATACGAGAGGTGGGGGGGGGGGGGGGGGTTTCCTTTCTGGCGTATGAAATGTGGAATTCAATTTACATTGTTCATTTTCACGGAAAGAGTGACCAATTTCTGGAAATGTTCTTTTTTTTGCAGGAAAACCACAGCCTCGCGTCAATGCATCTTCTCGGACTGACGAAATTCCCCCAGCCAATTCGAAGAGAATGGAGAAAGAGCCTGCAAATAAAGTCAGCAGCGTCGTGCCTCTAGTCGGTTCGACACCAAAAGGGACAACAAGTGATATTCAGATTCCACGTTGCATCGATAGAAGCGTTAGTCTTTTACTACTGGATTTTAAGACTCAGCGTAATTATGAAACGGCTTTTCTTGCAAACGCATTAAAAAGGTTCGCGTAAAGGTTTATACAATGTATTTAATTTCGTGTTTTTATTTGCGATATTATGAAAATGTTCAGTTGGACATTATTCTGATGATCCGACAATACAAAAAAGATAAAATGCTAGATCTGTGAAGTTACTTCTTTTAAAATAATTTTCATCGGAAATTCTCTGATGAAGAATGAAAACATTAAATAAAAACCAATCCTCTTGCATCGTTTCAACTTCAAAATGAAGACGTGAAAGTCCGTTAGAAGTTTTCGTTTTTGTGACTGAGTGCAAAATCGATTTTTCTCTCCGTAGGATTTCTCATTTCACTCATTAAATTTTCTATTTCACAGAGCGTACAGCATTGGAATGCTCAAATGATGATTGGAAAATGCTCTGTGAGAGTAACGGGAATATTGTCGGAAGAAGAACAAAGTTTTCTGGCGAACGAAGATCCTGACAGTTGGATGGAACTCGTTGAGGAAGAAGGCGGTTGGTATATATCATTCAATCTTTCGAATGCAATGTGACGTTAAAAAAAAAAAAAAACTGGATTGCAACTGTCTGAATGTTCTCAGTGCAGTACAGTATTTAAAATCTTGGATAAGGCAAGCAGAAATTATCAGACGGGGGAATGTCAAGTGTATTACTGAAAATTGGGGAAATTGCGGAAAGGTTAACATCTGCCCATGCTGAGCCAATCCTGTCGTGACGATCTCATGGAGAACGTTCTTGCGTGAATTAAAAACTTGCTTTTACGCATTAATTTCTTGAACACCGTCTACACTTTCTACAGTACAGGCGAACCTCTTCAAGTCGCAGTTCATGTGACCAACAAAAAAATCCGAGTTTGGCAAAAAAGCGTTTTTCTTGCGGGAAAGAAAAAATAAACAGGAAATTGTAATTGGTGATATTCTGGGCCTTAAATTTTTTTTGCATGAGTTGAAAGCAAGGGTTTATTTTTCAAATTAGTCTTTCGCTTTCTTTCAAAATGCATCGTGTTACATTTTTATTGCTTTTCTCATTCCTGTGTTAATAAAATAATAGCCGAAAGGCCTCCAGGAAATTTGAGTTGAGGAGGAAAGCTTTTGAATTATAGAAGTTTTGATTCATTGTTTCAGAGGGAAGCCGGACAATGTCTTAAAAAAGAAATCGAAATAGGGAGGTTATTGAGCGTTGACCTTATTCACACATAAACTTTTTTGCATGACTGATGACGCTGCTGATAATCGATTGCCCAATGTATACGAGATCCAAATCGTGATCGCATTGATTTTTTCCTTGACAGCCGAGAAATACTTCTGCTCGGAATGCGATTTTCTGACGGATTCCCCCAGACTTGCCGAAGCTCACATCTGGTATTCTCACAAGGACGGGAATGAAGGTCGACGTTAGATGACTATGCTTGCTGTCATCACACCCGGAAGGCAGAGAATTGTGAGATACAGTGTTCTTGTCTGCTTCACGTTAGTGTAAATACTACGACTTAAACGGGTCTAGAACGGTCGTATGGAAGTGTTCGTGCGGCGCCAAACATATGGTTCGAAACTGTGATTTGGTCAGTGAAACGATTCCGCTCTTTACTTTCCTTGTTTGACGGTGCGAAGAAATCTCGGTTTTTTTGAGACTTTTCCGCCGCCTAAAAGATTCACGCGAATGTGAGGAGTGAGTTTTTTCAGGAAGAACCTTTTGTGAATTTAAGACGCACTGTTGATCGCGCAATAACCAGGAAGTTGTATTATACGGGGTGATGTTGACGAAATTTTAACTTTTTCATTTCCTCCAACATAATACAATAATTCCTTTGTTTAAATCGTAGACTGCGAGTACGGCTTACATGGTACTATGTGGCCCCGAGATGTGGACGTAATTGGTGTTCGGACCTTGTCCCTGTGTCGAAGCATCCGTATAGTATGTTGGATCACATTTTCCCGTAGACTTCACTCGGAACATGTTTAATTAGTTCTCATGTTTGTGAAAGATTAGGAATAAGTCCCCAAAACCTTGAATAAAAATGTCTTTCTCAACTTCAAGATGCAGGAAATACATGTGCAGAAGGAAACCACGCAGAATCTGTATTCTGGCTTTGAAATACTGTAGCTCAAGAAAGAGAGAAAACGAACAATGCCGGGTAGATCAAGCTCAGATATGATTGGGACAAAAGTCTGAAAATGAAGCACAAAACTAACCTGCTTCTGATTATGATTTACTGGAGTTATTTACACTGACATTTATCTTTCAATTTTTGTAAATGTGAAATAATTTGTTCAAGAGGTATACAAATTTAGAAAAATGAAAATTTTATTTTTTGGGAAATGTTGAAGTGTCTCAATCTCCCAGACATTTTCCGGATTTTTTTTTTCAATTTTTCCGTGTCCCTGAGTCGAATCGGCCGTATATCGGGGCCCTACTGTCCTATTTATGTAATCTATTGTAGTATTTTATCAGCCTCGAGTGCATTTTTTCCGAAGTGGAATCAACTTCCGAAGTAATAGGACTAATGAGGATAATGGAAGTAAAGAAATAAAAGAACTTTGTTGATGGACATTTTTTGCATTAGTTTACACTTCAAAGTTTGACTCACCAGTTTTTAGCTCGTTTCGCGTTTTAAATGTACTCTAAATTCCAGGCTGCTCAAAAATCCGATATTACAATATTCGCTAATTTGAGGCGTCGTTGATCATAAGCCAATCACTTCTTTTTAAGAAGACCCTCATATAATCTTGTTCATTAAGCTTCTTTATTCTGTTATTTACGTCTCTTGATAAAAATAGGGAAAGTTGTATCGCGAGTACAGAAGATTCATCCTGTTGATTTTGCAGTTCCTGTTGAAAAAGGAATTTTCGTTCATGATGGATCCAGTTTTCCTTCCCAGGTGATTCTGAATTGAAGGGGAAAACGTCTGAATCGCTACGGGTAACTTCGTGATATTGGATGTGGATTTGTTGCAAGTGTGATATAGTTCGGATTGGAATGAGGTTTTTCGGTTGGATGAAGATCTCATTTGTTCTTGATGTTAATGCACTTTGAAAAAAAAAAAGAATGTATCCACGATGTTTTTTCTCAATACAGGTGTATCTAGTGTAAGTGAATGGTTCATGACATCAGTGCAATGTTGACCAACGTGATTTTGGCATTTGTGATCTGTCCTTTCTTCGTCGACGTATCCGGTGAAACTGAAAATGATGAAAGGTTGGTTCATGATTTCCCTGTATATTTTTATTCTGTCGGCGATGTTATCTGTCTAAAAACTAAATCGTGTTTTCAAAAGTTCTCTGATCGTGTAGTTTTGTTGAAGAATCTTACTCACGGAAATGTGTGTGGAATTCTAAAACAGTTCTGTAATGTGTGACCAATCATTGAAAGTGTTGAAAGAATTTTTTTATGAATCTTCTTGAATTATTATAACATTGAAATTATTTATAACATTCTGCTTTTTTTTTTTGAAAGAACAGCGTACATTCTCAAATGGGGCTGAAAATTTTCCAAGAAATACGTCATGCTGAGTATTTTTTTGAAACACTACATTTCCTCTCCTGAAAGTCCTGTTTCTTAGATTAAGTTGGAATGCTTCTGTTCAATTTTTTCTTTCGTTTTTCTTCCATTTATCTAGTAATCCGTATTTGCTATGCACAGAATCATGGTCCAAAATTCGTTATACTGAGATTACAGCCTATAATTAGTTTGTTGAAAGCGATTCTTTTAATAACTTTGCGCCCGTAGAGAAACTGCCGGGACCAATAAAAAATTCGTTATAACGAGATTCGTTGTTATAGAATTCTACTACATTACATTAATCTAAAAATGGTGACAACAAATTACGTCGATTATCAGAGCTCTTATAACCCTATGAACTGCGCCAAAATATTGTCAGCATGCATTTGGTTGGCTCTTCATTTAGGCTGATGAGCTTTGAGATTACCAGGACTTTAGTTGACGACGAATAAGTCGTGGACTTCGTTCACCTGTTGAATGACATCTTCTATTAGCATTAAAATGCCCGGGATAGTTGATTATTCGAGCTAGGAGACTCAGTTGAGAAAAATCTGGGTTTATTTTAGTTGTACTTCACTGTACGTCGTTTCATATTCTTTTAAATAAAATATACCGTATTTACCCAAGCACTACGCCCCCTTTTTCTTCTGCAAAACTATGACCAAAATATTGGGGTGCGCGTTTGTATGCGGTATGAACCTCGACATAAACTTTGTATGCAGTCTGAACTTTGTATGAGGTATACACTTGTGGCAAAAACTTGAGTGCGCGTGATACACAGAGATAGATTTTTTTTGAAATCCTGTGCCAAAAAATTTAGAGCTACAGGAACCTGGTAGAGATTTGTTATAATGAAACATTTTTTGTACTGTATGAAGAATCATGGTTTTCAGCACATTTTGGACTGAAATTTGGTGGGAAATTGGCAATAAATACTGTAAAATGTTCCCAAAACAGAGAATTTAAGACCGGGCATATAGTAAGTATTTCTGCCGAAGTGAGAACAATTTCAATTGATATTACTTTTGTTAACCCTGCAGTAAACAAAAAATGAAGAGTTTCTTTTGAAAAGTAAAATGAAACAAACTCACATGTGGCATAGAAATACTGTACTCCTTCTGAATCAACTTATTCATGCTTGTTTGTTCTTTCAAAAGATAAGCATTTTAGCATGATCTTCATTTGAAAGAAAGGCATACATTTTGAAATGGAGCTGAAGAATTTCCAAGAAATATTCCATGTTGTGTATGATTTTTAGATCTAGGACAAATCAATACAGATAGTTCAAGGCAGGGCCAAATTGAGACAGATACTTCTGGAGACAAGGACAATTTGAGACAGAAACTTTTGGGGACAGGGACATTTTGAGACTGAAACTTTTTAAGACAGGAAAAATTGAGACTGAAACTTTTTGACGCATGAAAAAATTTTGACAAATAAATTTTGAGAATTTGAGACATTAGATACAAAATGAGTTGAACATGTTTTCCCTATTTTCTTATGTTTAAGGTGTGAAAATGTACAAAAATTGCTTGCTTGGTGAAAAATCCATGATCCCAGGGTGTTTCTCCTTCTTATCCATCATCATTTCAAGTGAGTTTTCCTCCTCTAGGAAAAACTCAAATCTTTGAACCAACCTAAGCAGATTCCTCTCCTCATTTAGATAGTTTTTGTCTCACTTTGTCCCAGTCTCAAATTGTCACAGTCTCAAATTGTCCCAGTCTCAAATTGTCCTAATCTCAAATTTTCCCTGTCTCAAATTGGTCCTGTCGCAATTTTTCCATATCTCATATTTTTTGAGTTCCAAGTTTTCTCTGCTGAAAGTGTTTCATCTTTGATGAAGTTGGAACGCTGCATTTAATTTAATTTTTTTCTCGATTAATTTTTTAAATTATCAAATAATCCCTGTGGCCTACGCACAGAATCAATGACAAAAACTTGTTATAATGAGATTTTTATAGCATTGCGCCTATGAAGAGAAACTGCTGGGACCTAGAAAAAAAGCCCATCATAACGAGAAATCCGTTCTAACGAGATTCGTTGTACTGAATTGAATTCTGCTGGATAAACTCACGATTTAAAATGCTCGACTCCCCGGTTTGTATTCTGCAGATCTAAGCTTTATCCCTGGACGTGGGAATGCAACACGGATTCCGAAATGTGCGAGAAGGTGAAGTGGTCGGAGGATTCGAGCGTGCCTCAAATGAGCTTCGAAACGTGTCGCATAGCCTGTGGAAGCCTCGGGAGGCTCTGGCCTGCCCCCACGGGCCTCGTCAACATCTCCACTCTCGTTGCTCGCGTTTCCCCGTCGCAGTTCTCGCACACGACGCTCGACGCACCTCCTGATGTATCCAAGATGATCAGTGTGGCATTTGAAGACTTCCGGAAGCGGGTCCGGTTGCTGGCGCAAGGCAAACGCATCGACGAAGACTATGTCGGCATTGATGTGGAGTTTTTGGTGAGGAACGAGAGCTTGCTGCAGACGTATGCGACGGACGAGAGCTACAAGCTGTCGGTGTGGACGCGGCACCAGAATAACCTGGGTGTACAGATCGTGGCGGGCACTTACTTTGGAGCCAGGCATGGATTGGAGTCGTTGATGCAGCTCATTGCGTACGAGAAATTTTGTGAATGCTTTACGATGGTCTCGAATGCCCAGGTGAGTCAGTTATTTTGAACCATAGTCGATCGGTTTTTTTTTATATGGACATTACTGTATTCTTGTTTTTATTTTATTTTTGTGAGTCCTTTTGATTTCAGTTGTTTGTTAGGTGAAGACATCCCATGTAGCGAGTTCTAGAATTCAAATGTTTTTCGATACATTTTCGTGTGCGGAGAGTTTTATTTCGAAATAAAATTCGAACCTCCTTTGGTCGAACTTAGAGGGACCTGCAAAAAAGCGGAGTTGGGGATACGAGCATTTTGGTAAGGGAAAATGAAGAACTGGAAACATTTTTTATTGATGATATTCTGGGCCTTAAACGGCGTCTTGAATTAGTTGACAGGATGCTGAACTTTGAGGCAAGGGTTCATTTGCCCAATTGGTCTTTCACTTCCTTTCAAAATGCATCAAATTGAATTTTTATTGTTCTTCTTTTTCCTGTGTCAATAAAATAATAGCCAGAAGGCTTCCAGAAAATTCGAGTTATGGAGGTTTAAAAGGAAAAGCCTTTGAGTTGAGAGGTTTTAAATACATTTTTTCTGAGGGAATTCAGACGGGGGCTCAAAAAGATCCGACAGGGGGAGTTATTTGACCTGTGAGGTTCGGATTATTCAGGTCCAACTGTACTTCAAGTTTTTAACGTTCCATAAGTCGGCAGAAGTATGCCGAAGAAAGTCCTCTCTAATGTTTGGACATTTTCTGCGGTAAGAATGGTTCAATCTCATTCAAAGAAAATCTCGTGGGCGTTTAAAATGTTATGTTCTACATTTTCGTGAAATTTGCAGTATTTTTAGATGAGTCAAGATTTGACTTTCTTCTGTTTTTTTCTTGGCGAGAATTGAAAAATTGGGAGTGATCAGGCAACACTTCGACTGACATTTGAGAACTAGCATTAAATTGAAAAGTTCTCAAGATTGTTCTCGCATTCCAGTTCGAATACAAGAAAATGTATTTTGTGATGAAAACCTTTGCCTTTGGGTATGTTCCAGATCGAAGATGCTCCAATGTACAAGCACCGCGGAGTGTCGCTCGACACTAGCCGGAATTTCTTCCCAATATCCGATTTGAAGCGAATCGTCGACGGTCTCGCGATGAACAAGCTGAACGTATTCCACTGGCACATGACCGACACTCACAGCTTCCCGTTCAACGTGACGAAGTGGCCGCAGATGGCGTCGGACGGGGCTTACTCTTCGGATATGGTATACCAACCGGCGGATGTGAAGGACTTTGTGGAGTACGCGAGAATGCGTGGTGTGAAAGTGATCCCGGAACTAGATGCACCAGCCCATTGTGGCAACGGCTGGACTTGGGGGAACGAGTTGGGACTCGGAGACCTGGTGTGGTGTGCCAACGAGGACCCATGGTACGACCTATGTGTCGAGCCCCCTTGCGGACAGTTGAATCCGCTGAATGAAAATGTTTTCCAGGTACGAATCCCGGATTTGCGCATTCGACTCTTGAGTTTTTTTCTTCTTGGAATCATTACAGCGTATTTACTCGAGTTCCACATTCACCTTTTTCCAAAAATGAAGGTGCGCGTCATAGTTGAGATTTGAGAATTCACTTTTTCTGCGAAATTTGGGTATTTCCTTGAGCGTCATGCTTGAACACGTTGAGTGGAGTCCGGTGAATTACTTTGGAGGGACTACTAGAGTGGGTAAATGTATAGTGTACTGTCCGTACTTGGGCTCAGATCGAACTGGCGGATGAAATTTTAAAATTCAAATTGAATTTACATCTTCATACAGTAGTCAATGAATTTTTGTATTTCAGCGTTTTATAAATTAATTTTTCGTCACATGCAACTTGTTGCGCGGGGATTGATTTTTTTTTTTTTTTCAAAATTGAGTTTCGCAGAAGCAAAAAAATTATTTCGGAATTATTGCTCAGTTGATGCCAAAATGCCCCAACCCCTCCCCTTGATTTTCCGTTTGTTCGCCTTACACTGTCAATATTTTCGTATCATTGTTCTTAAATTGGTGAAATCATATCGTTTAAATACTGTCGGCCGACTTCTGGGTAGTTTCAAAAGGATTTGAGGAAGTTACTTCGCAGTGGGGGATACAATTCGATGCAGTTTTGCGACTTCGTCCGTCGTGATGTCGAATTGCTTCGGTGCTGGTAAATGACAGTGGCACTCATTCGAGTTCTGAATTCACCATGAGTCAATTGAAGTCCCAACTGCTTTCAACTTCCTGTCTTGATGATGAGATAACTAACCGGCCTTGATCTAGTTCTGGGTGTAATTTCTGTGATCAGTGTAATTATGAGTACGAACAAAAATTACCTCTTTTTCTTGTTTCACACGATTCTTCTCGGAAGTTTATTCGCGTGTGACTGCATTTTAGTGTACGGTATACAATACTTCAAGACTACCAGAAGTGCTTTCTTGTGCATAGTGACTGTTTGTGCTGCCCTGAATTCAATAGGGTTCTCCTTTTGTTTCGTTTAATCTTTAATGTAGATTCTTCGTGATATTTACGCCGAATGGTCTACCCTTTTTGATACTGACCTGATTCACCTGGGCGGAGACGAGCTGAGCAAAAAGTGTTGGGAAAGAGAGCCGTCAGTTCAGAGTTGGATTGCTAAGAACGCTTCTGCAGTGGAAGAAAGCAAAAGGATTGTTTACTTCTGGTGGGAGGCGTTTCAGAAGCGCGCCGAGAATTTACTTGAGACTGCTTTTGGGAAGAACCATGATGTGATTTTGTGGACCAGTGCCTTGACGAAAGACGGCATCGAATTTTTGGACAAGGATAAACATGTGATTCAAATTTGGACAGAGTCCAATAACAAGGAAATCGGCAACCTCTTACGCTTGGGATTCAGGTAATTCGCACATCTTCTACCACATCTGTACTACATGTACTTTCCTTCTATTCTGAAGTTCTGTGGATAACCTGAAAATCTTTGTAGAAAAAAAGATTTTACGTTTTTGAACGTGGAAAAAATTTAAATTTTTAAGCATCGAAGGTTGGGGAAGTATTTTCTGCAGAATAGGGTATTTTCGTTAACTCCCGAAGCTCCTGGAGGTTTTCGAGGAGAATGCTCTGCATTTTTCAGCTGCTGCCGGGTGAAAATGTAGGTCTGAATGATTTCCCCCATTGAACGAGGCTATCACGATGAAACTTTCTGCTGTATTGAGAATGATGATGAAGATGTTCGGAAACTATTGAAAGGGTCTGACAAATTCTGAAATGTCAAGTCAAGTTGAAGGATCCTTACATGGAAGTTAGTCGTGATGCTTCTACGGAGTTGAGATGGATTAAAAATGAAAGATTTTATTAATTATGGTGTGTATGATTATATCTCATTATCGTCATGCAAATGAAATTTTGCTGGATTTCATTTGCTTGGAAATATATGATGATATTTCAGATGATCTGTTGAACTTTAGAGAAATCCATTTCAAGGCCCATCAGAAGTATCTCGTGTTTAGTCCTAAATTTTGAATGGAAGAATTGAAAAAAAGCTCATCAATGACGCATGAATGCGTCATTTCCGGAGTCTTGGGGGAAACTGCTGAAGATTTTTCATCTCTTTCGAAAAAAAGGACTGTCGGTTATTCCTGAAAACCCCGTTGTGTTCCCCAGGTTGATCATGTCAAACGTGGACGCGTTGTACCTGGATTGCGGTTTCCAAGCCTGGGTCGGAGACGGACACAATTGGTGTTCCCCGTACAAAACGTGGCAGCAGATTTACGATAATGACCCCAGGGACATTATGAAGCAGCACGCGCCTGAAATGAGCGACGAAGCGATTGAGCGACTCTCACTCGGCGCCGAGGGGGCTTTGTGGACTGAGCAGGTTGACGTTGCCAGCGTGGACTCACGCTTGTTCCCACGTCTCGTCGCCTTGGCTGAGAGGTGACGGTGTTGACATTATTTTTCTTTCCGAAGAATCCCCTGCATTTTGCATGTACAGTATTTTTGAGTATTGACGAGGATCGTGTTCAAAGGCTTGTCCGTCACTTTTGAAAGCGGTAATTTAACGAGACTCTTTTTTATATGCAGCTGCCCTTTACAAATGCCAATTTGTTCTGAAAAAAAAAACTTCCCTGATGATGAAAGCATTGGAAACCCCATTAAAACGCCATCCACCAAAATTGACTGCTCAAATATGCGCTGCCCAATTATTTTTGTCTTTGATAGCCCGCCAACAAGATTTAAGTTTCTGCGATCTGTCTCCAATTAAAAATATATACATATATAAATACAACACAAAGATGACATAGTATTCTTCTATTATAGTTTTCACATCCCAGGGTTATTTTGATTGTTTTCTAGAAGAACAATTGTATTTCCCATTATACTTGATTTTCATACTACTGTACTTTAACCTTTATAAAAAAAACAACAGATTCCCCCTTCAAACTGCCAGTCCCATCAAGCCGCCACAAACCTCACTAACGTAAGGTTGCGGCTTATTCAGTTTTGACTGTGCTGTACTTCCGACTTACCGTCTGTGGCGGACATTGTAATACTCTACCTATTCTACCAAAGTGTATTTCTTTCCCCTAAATGCCCCTGATCACCAAGAATGGAAGATCTGAATAACCTTCTGAGCCCCTCCTTGTGATTCATCAGGTTTTAGACGCACTTTCTTTGAATCCCATTTCACAGGTTGTGGACCCGTCCGAAAAACGCTCGGACAGACAAGGTTCTGTGGCGGTTGCAGGCGCAAAGAAGCCGGATGATGTATTTGGGCGTGAATTCCGACGCTCTACTTCCGGAGTGGTGCATGCAAAACGAAGGCAGATGCACTCGTCTTCCGCAGGACCGGAAGCTCGAGATCGACGACGGAGGACTGTGAGGAGACGTCTTAAAAAAAAAAAAAGGGGGGGGGGGGGTCATGCCGCCTGGAGGAATAAAAAAAAAAAAAAAAAAAAAAAAAAAGGGGGGGGGGGTCATGACACACACACACAACTCAACTTGCTCAGAAGATTTGCAATCCAATACTTTTTTCGACGACGTAACCCGTGTTCAGTTGAGTGGTAACTTTGGGGCTGTAGGAAATGACGAGAGCCGTTAATTTTGTACGGAAGGAAGAAATTTTGGACGCGTTTTTTTATTAATTTTCGGTGAATCATCGTTCGAGAGGCTGTTGAAATTCAACCTTACCCACCGAAAGTTGCTCGATGTATTTTGCAGTATTCATGCGATATTTTTGAACCGCAGACGGATTGTGACTAAAACTTCTGTCAGGGATAAAACGAGGCTAATTACGCATAGAAGTGTGACCTCCATTTTATTCTAATTCTTAATTTGTTTTCCTCGGCACCTTCATGAGTAGCAACGGAAATCCGTCTCATGAAAATTGACTTGAAGATGTTCGACAGAAAACGTCGGAATCCGTTCGTCGGCTCTGCTTGAGGTACGTTATGCTGCAAAACTCGGAACACTCCATTTTGTTTTTCTTGCCTGAACCTCTTTTCAGAACGTATCACGAATAATCCGAATTTTTCAACGTGAGGGGAGCATACTCAAGAGATTCCTGATTTCGACCGGAACGTAAAATCGTACTTCAGCAGATGTTTGATGTACTTTTCCGATTTTGATCAACTGGATACAGTACATGAAAAAAACCACGTATCTAAAGAATCTTGGATCCTTCCTGATTTTTATTGTTAAGGATAAGAAAATAACTCCTCGCTTCGATGCTTGCACCACAGCTTGTTGAATTTGGAAACGAAATACAGTACTGTTCTGTACTATACTATAGGAATGGGCATTAGTGCGTATTAATGGTGTGTCCCAGTTTCTTACTTTTGCACGAAAAGTGTTCAACAATAAAGAGATGGTGTGGCGTGTTTGAGTCTCACCTGGACTTCGAGGATAGGAATATACGATAAGCATGGTGTTGTTAAGTGCTTATCTCAGAAAACTGTGGAGAAGAATTCGTCGTTATGGTGAATGATCATTTGCTTTTCGAATATATATCGTTCAGGATTAGTTGAGTAAAAGTGCGATTAGATTTTTGGTCCGGAATGACTGTCGATTTCAGGATATCGAGTTTTATCTGCTTGTAAGTGCAACCGCGACACGTTTCTTCATTTGGCTGAGTAGTAGCTGAGCATAATTATTCACCTCATATGTAACACAATTCAACTAAAAAATGACTTTCTCCTTTCGTGAAGCTCTATCTTCGTTGGGACCAAAGAAAATCCTGCTCATATTGGGAATCACAGCTGTAGTTATCGCCATCATAGTGACCATTGCTGTTACGGCCCAGAAGGGTTCTTCCGGAACAAAATTCAAACTGTGAGTGCATTTTTTCGTAATGCTCTGAAGAGTGACTCAAAATTCGCGTTTGATATCGCTTTGATAGTCCAAAAAAGTAATTTTTCAGTTCGTTTCTGAGGATGGATACGGAAGCTTTGAGGATTTATGCATGAATAGGGTCGGAAACCGAATTGTAGTTCTTGAGATGTCTCAAAATATTCGCGTAGTGAGAACTTCGTTAATTTGTGCAATATATTTTCTCCAGCTTACTACACCTTCATTTACTTACGAATAATTTGTTTCAATGTAAGCAGAGGCACTGACAGTAAAAATAAATCTTTACAATAAGTCATCAACCATTCCATCTTCTTAAGATTCTTACTTCGCGATCATTTAAAATTTTTGTAGTGCCAAATAAACGTCGATTGTGCTTTGCTCGAAATCTTCACGAAAATGACGGGCCGATTTCATGTGATTCAAAAGAAACTGTATCAACTGCAGGAGGTGAATCCGCCACCAATCTTTGCAATTCTTCGAGCGTTTCACAGGAAATTCGAAATTCCGTAGATTGGAGATGGAAAACGCTGCTTTTTCCCACTGCAAAGTAAATTTTGTTAAAGATTTTGAGAAGGTGGTTCTACCTGGGATTTTTCCCATGACTTCGTGCTAGCGACCTCAAGAAGCGGTCTCCTTGGACATGGGAATGCAATTGGACGAACGAAACTTGTGAAAGGGTGAAACGGGCGACATCTGTATCACTCGTGCAAACCAGTTATGAAGCATGTCGTATTGCCTGTGGTTCTTATGGACGTTTGTGGCCAAAACCAACGGGAAACGTGGATCTTGGTCGTAAGATTGGGCGAGTGACGCCATCCAAGTTTCTCCTCTTCCTTGATGGAGAGCGAACAGAGAGATTAACTGATGAGCTTCGAGATTCTTTCTTCAATTTTCTGCAACGCATACAAGCTCTGGCATTCGGGAGGCCTGTGGATCCGAGAAACGGTGAATTATCTTGAAATTTTTTTTTTTCAAGGGGGGGGGGGGGGGGCTAACGAGGTTCACTGTACAGTACTTACTATCAAGTTGTTTTGTCCATGTCGCAACTATTATCAGGTATAATAAGAATGCAGTGGGACCCCCGAAATTCGGTTACAATCGGTTCCTCACCCATGTTCAGATGTTGAATGAGGAAAGGCATTTTCTTATTTTACAGTACCGCGCTTGAATGGAATAAATTTTTCTGGTGCACTATCCGGAACTTGAGTGGATGTTGCGCATAGTTTTAATCTTTTAAAATATCCGGACGATGAATTGTCGAGAGTGTCCAATCAGCTGGCCCCTCCGCAATTTCACGCTAGATTAGGATTCAATCCTTCGACTGACTTGTTTTATCCGCCCAGCTTGATCTGTTGCACAGGAGACTGAGAATTGAAAATGCCAAGAGATCCCTTTGTAGCAATAATCTCTATACTCACCCCTATTGCAGTTCGTGTTTCATATGAAATCGCAGGTCTTGATCATCTGGAAAAAAAAGCCAAACTAATTTAAATTCCTTCCCGGAATAATATCTGAATGAAATCTGCTGGCGACCATGTCCAGTGGCAAAAACGGTTGGATCCTGATATTTTTGATTGAAATTCCAGTCGTGAGGATTTCAAAGAATCTATAGAGCACTTGGTAAGAATTTTCAAATCATCGCAGTGATCCCAAACTGGTACCATCGTGAGAGGTTTCTGATGGACTATTGAAATATATTAATTTTTGTCTGTATTGAAAAGGAGGATTTAAAAAATTGAAAAATGTCCCACTGAAATCCGGGTTGTTGGAAAAAAAGAACCTGTTGAAAAATCCCTCATACCTGATGGAAAGCGCAAAGATATTTTTCTACGATCCCCACTGTCTTCAGCGTTATCGCATTCCTTTCGCTCGATATTTTTGAAGCCTCGTCAGTTTTCCATCAGCTCCGAAAATCTTTAAAGAATGAAAACGTCCTTTGATTTCCAGTTGGGATTGACGTAAGGATTATGGTCGCAAGCGATGCCTTTACGCTAGACTACAATACTGACGAGAGTTACGAACTGACGATCGAATCTCCATCGAAACGTGGGAAGAATTTCGTTGCTGCAATCGACGCAAAAACGTATTTTGGAGCAAGACATGCCTTTGAAACGTTGTCACAGCTGATCGCCTTTGACGAATTCTTGCAGTCCTACTATTTAGTTACTTCAGCAAAGGTATGCAAGAGTTTCGACTCGTATTCTCTAAATGGCGCCTGTATAGTTTAGTCATGATTTTAATGGAATTATTTTTGTGCTGAAAGGTTGAATAGAGAGTTCTAGATACAGCACCGAGTTCTTCGTAGTGGTGCGAAGAATACCTACGAAAATCGACTGATCACTCGAAAATGTAATCTCGCACACAGTAAATAATTGTTTACAGATTGGGTTACTTTTTAATCGGTAACCATTGTATGCCTGACGTGTTAAGCATGTATTGCGTTTAACTTGCTGTTGAATTTTAAGTGCTCAATTTTATTTTCAGATAACTGACAGTCCTGTCTACAAGCACCGCGGAGTCATGTTGGACACGAGCCGGAATTTCTTCCCCATATCCGATTTGAAGCGAATCGTCGACGGTCTCGCGATGAACAAGCTAAACGTATTCCACTGGCACATGACCGACACTCACAGCTTCCCGTTCAACGTGACGAAGTGGCCGCAAATGGCGTCGGAGGGGTCTTACGCGTCGGATATGGTGTACCAACCAGCGGATGTGAAGGACTTTGTGGAATACGCGAGAATGCGCGGTGTGAAAGTGATCCCGGAACTAGATGCACCAGCCCATTGTGGCAACGGCTGGACTTGGGGGAACGAGTTGGGACTCGGAGACCTGGTGTGGTGTGCCAACGAGGACCCGTGGTACAAACTGTGTGTTGAGCCTCCTTGCGGCCAGCTCAATCCTCTCAATGATGGCGTTTTCACGGTGGGTTAGTTCAAGAATTTGTAGTTCTATGTACGTTATGTTGTAATTACGTTCGCGAGACGCATGTATAACATCATTTCCCGGACGAACAGAGAATTTCTACTCACGATAGTGCCCTGTATTAATCGTCGTTTGTTCAAACCTGGGCCAGGTCTCAGAAAAGCTTGAAGTAAATACTAGCCAGTCTCTAGTATAATGGCCAGGTTAAAGAGGGGGTGGGTGAATTCTTTCAATCCAAAAATTGTGTACAACCATGTATTGATAGCTATAGGAAGAAACCATTTCCCATAAATTCCTGAAGATTCGTGTAACTTCCAAGGAAAAAGTTGAAATCAATTTTTTTTTTCTTGGGATTTTTCCTTCTTTCCTTTCTTTTTCTCTCGTCTGACACGTTGAATGTTGTAACTGAGTGCCAGCTTTTAACAGAAGACGGTCTCTATTAAATGCATGGAGAAAGACCAGCATTTTATGTAAACGCCAGGGGTTTTTATTTGAGCGTAAACAGTACTGAAGTACCTCATTCACTTCTTTTTTGAAAAACTGAGGCAAAAAATTAGGGGGCCTGAATATACTGTAGTACATTGTGAGGGTATGCATTTTTTTAAAGAATAGAAGTATGAAACCACTGGTGTGATTTATAATGAGAGAGTCTGTGTAGGGAAAGAATAATAAACAAGGAATTATGTTCGGCACCAGTCCTGTCGCAATGATTCATGTTGGCTCATTCACTCACAAGATAGTTTTGTTACACATTATTGCCTGAAAAAATTAATTTTCTGTCAAGCAAACTGTAGAAGTCTTATGCAGGGATAGATTTTTTTTAATCCGTGCAATAAAATGAAGGTGAAATTTTTACCAAAGGGTTAGTTATCTCTAAATAAGTACACTATAGTGTTCTATCACAAAAGTGACCTTCTTTGGCAGGTGCACCATTCCAATGTCATAAAAGGAGCAGAACTTTCTGTAGAGAACATTTAGTGCTCATCAGATACTTAAAAACACAACATTGTGCTCTTTGTGGAAGTTCTTCAGTTCCATTTGAGGATGTATGCCTTTATATCAAATGAACAGTATGTTCAAAATAATTTCCCTCTGTTTGGAAGAACAAAACGGTATGAATGAGTAATTTCATTTGTAAGTAATTATTCCTCCCACAGGTAATTTTGTTTCCTTCTTTTGTATATTAAGAGAAGCAGCTCTTTAGTGAATAGGCAGGAAAGGAATTAAGGAAACTTTTGTTTTATGTACAGGATTCAAAAACGTTCCTCTACAATTTATCAGAGAGACTCAGAAATTATGATGGATCATGATTCATCTATTTTAAAAGCACTTTACTGCATTTATTACCTATTTCCCACAAAATTTGAGTCTAAAAAAGCATGAATCTCAATACAACGATAATATTTATCAGGTCCCTGTTGGGAGTTTGTTCCAACAAGATTTTATTGTAAATGAAATACCAGTACAGTTTGAGTGCGTCACAGTCTTCCATTGACTTCTTCATTCTTCCTTTTTCTCAGATTTTACACGACATTTACGCGGAATGGTCCACTATTTTCGACAAGGACATGATTCACCTCGGCGGGGACGAGTTGAGCGAGATTTGTTGGACAAGAGAGAAGGTGGTGAAAGACTGGATCAGTCAAAATGCAGCGGGAATGAGTACTTCTGATGCCATCAAAAAGCTTTGGTGGGAAGCCTTTGAGAAACGCGCCGAACAAGAGCTTGGGAAATCGTACAACGCCAACGCTTCTGTGATTCTCTGGACCAGTGGTCTGACTGAGGCTGCCGAGGAATACCTGGACCCGCGGAAGCATATTGTTCAAGTCTGGTCTGAAGCTAATGATAAGGGAATTGGACTTCTTGCGAATGCTAGTTTCAGGTGAGCTTATAGCTGCGGAATGGTGTTTTTTTTTCATAGTTATTATCTAAAGATAATGCGTTAAACTGCATACCGTACTTGAAACGGACACCTATAGCAGAACCCGTCGGACGTTATCCTGCGGGCAGGTTCTGGTCCCAAGATGAAGGGATTGCAACACCAAGGAAATAGGGTTGCGTTCAGAACCCTGCAGTGGCTCAGGCTGTGGACATTTGTCCGTCTCTGCATTTATCAACTTGAATGCAGCAAAATCTCATTCAAAGAAATGCCATTACAACAATATTTTGAGTACCAAAAACTTTTTCTGAAGTCCTGCCAGAAATCCCTTGGAGTAAATGTTCAAACAAATTTGCTGTTACAAACTTTTGAAATCCAGTGTAACCAACTTTTTCAAGGAGAGTTGAATTGATTCTCTGGGTAGAAATCTCCTGACTAAGGCAGGCACTCTCTGAAATTTCCATTTCTAAATGTGACTCAATGGTTCTTGTAGCATGTATGTAAGCTGTGATCAATGACAAACATGCCCTCAAGTGAATTTTCTCCCGGGATCATCCTTTTGTAATCCTCCCAGAATGAAGAGATTGGAATTGATGAATTGCATGATTGAAGCTCATTTTTTCTCGGAAGATTATTCAGTTCTTTCAAACAATAATGAAAAAATAATGAAAAATCTGAGAATGCCAGAAAAGAAAGACCCAATTGATCATTAGCAGAGCTGATCGGAAAAATGTTAGCATCAGTCATTAATTTTGAAAATCTAGTTATAACAAAATATTTAGTATAACACATTATTTACAATTTACTCAAAACTTCGTTTTAATGGTACAGTATTTCACTGAAGAACATAGAATAGAAGACAAAGAAGTCATACTCTGATACTCAATGGAGCACCAAAACCAATTCTAGACAACATGAATCATTGTCCATTGGGTTTTCAATAAGTTTTTTTTTTCAGGAATGTGTGGAAGTACATGTACAAACTTCTGTATGTTTCCCCATTCTTTGATATGAAACCCCAGGCAATGTTTATCAACCAATCCTAACCTAACGGAACACCTCTCTTCTTCATGGCCCTGCCAGAATATTATTAAGCAAGCTAGAAGAGTTTTCCCATGGAGAAAATTAATCTACCAGATGCATTTAAGTAATCTGTGATGTTTTATCGAGTAAAACTTTTTGGCACTGTGGTGAGCAGCAAATATTGATTCGAAAAAGGAGCCTTTGAGGGCAGGAAGAAAAACTGGGAGCAAAATTCATAAATATTGATACATTAATTGTAAGGATAGTACTGTAATGGATGAGCCCTCCCCACAAATTGATCAAGTGTGATGAATCTTGAAAGTGTGTTATAGGATAAAAGTATTGTCATTGTACAGTATTCAAATTTTGAATGGAGTTGAAAAAAAAAATTTCTGCATGCACCGTTTCCTGCCCTTTTCATCTTTGGTATTTATGATCTTCTCTGCAGGATGCGTTGCATAAACCTAGGATTTGAAACTTCCAAAATTCTGAATTTTTCAGTTGTACTGTATGTACAACTGTAGCTCTTTCGGACACTTGGTATAATGTGGACTGTACAATGACAACGGAAACTGATTCTTTCTCCTTTTTTTTGTGTGTCATTTCTTCCACAGACTCATCATGTCAAACGTGGACGCCCTGTACATGGACTGCGGTTTCCAAGCCTGGGTCGGGGATGGTCATAATTGGTGTTCGCCGTACAAGACGTGGCAGGGTGTTTACGACAACGATCCCATCGATATAATCACCTCGCATTCGCCAGGACTGGGTGAGGAGACGATCCGAGAGCTTGCCCTTGGAGCAGAGGCTGTGCTGTGGACTGAGCAGGCTGACGATGTCAACGTGTTCACCAGGCTGTTTCCGCGGGTTGCTGCACTGGGGGAAAGGTTGGTGCAAATCTTGGCCCAAAAAAAAAAAAAAAAAAAAAAAGAAAGAAAGAAAAGAGTCGGTGTAAATGTATAGAAAATATAAAAAAAAAAAAAAAAAAAAAAAAAAAAAAGAAAGAAAGAAATGAGTCGGTGTAAATGTATAGAAAATGCCTGAGACGACAACAAGCTTTTTTGATGTGGGGGAGGGGACTTGGAGCAAAGTTCCTTACAATAGTGCGATGAGAAGTCGATGTTCAACTGTGGTCTTTGGCTTTGAAGTATGGGTTTTAATGTACAGTGGGATCTTGGTTTACGAATTTTATCAGTTCCTGCGTAAAGTTTGTTTACCAAATCACGCTTTTCCCTGAGAAAGGTACTGAAATAATTTCAATTGGTTCCGAAACATTGAAAGTGCCCAAGAAAATCTGTCTTGAGAAATGTTTACTGGTCCTTTAATTCAAGAAATTCGCTTGATAAAGTATAATAAAAATTCACTGGAGAACAACAGCCTTCAAAATTCCTTTAATTTCAAAAGATTTGAGTGCCCCACGCTTGAGCAACATAAGAAATTCTGACATTTTTGAAAAATGTATAACAAGGATTCTGGCTTGCATGAAACATTTTTAAACCATCAGAAGTTTGAAATTGAAAGATTCCTCTTACCTGTTCAATGCAGAAGTTCAGATGGGAGCACTTTTGATAAATGCATCAACAAGATAAATTGGGTTGGACAGGAAATCACAGGCTTTTGCAACAACAACAAAATTGACCTATTCACATATGAACTAAGTGTGTGAACCAAGTCAGAATTTGTTAGCCAAGGCACCTGAGTCCCAAACCCAAAGTTTATCAGCCAAAAAAGTTTGTAAGCCAGAGCATTTGTTAACCAAAAACCCACTGTACAGTTTAACCCCTTCAAGTCAAATTCCAAGGGACCAGCAAACAACGTGACTCAAGGAGGTTCAAAGTTAGGAAAATTATCATCAGGAAAATCAGCATTTTTGCCTTAATAATATAAAGCTGTCACAGAAAGTTGAAATTAGTGAAAAACTGCTTTGGGAATAAGTTGAAAAGATGCTAAACTTGAAAATGAGGCAAGGATTCATTTGTCCAATTAGTTGTCTCACTTTCTTTTTAAAATCATGAGGTTACACTGTTATTGCTTTTCTCTTCTTGGGTCACAAAAATAGTTGCCAAAATATCTCCAGAAAATTTGTGTTGTAGAGGTTTGAAGGGAAAAGCTTTTTATTTCCAAAGGCTTTTAAAGTTTTAATGCATTGTTTCTAAGGGAATTCAGACAAATTCAACATGGAGAAGTATTCAACTTATTTCAACTTTCAAGTTAAGAATCCAGAGTCAATAGAATGCGCAAAAGTCTGTATATAATTGAACGAATCCATCCTGAGATGAGTTCCATGATCCCAAACAAGACTTCCCTTGTATTATTTACTGATTTAATCCAACCCTGACACTCACAAAGATTGATTGATTGATTGTTTGACTGACTGAAACTCTTTGTATTTAGGGGAATTATTATTTCAGTACAGAACAGTGAGAAATTAATCAGCATAAAATTAAAGTGATCCTGGAATCGTTTAAGTTGTAAAAAAAATTTTGGACATTTAATATTTGGCAAAATATTTCAACAACTTCCAAAATCTCGAAAGAGAATCACATGATGTGATTTTTATCAAGGCAGTGGCAATAAGAACACGTGGATGCTTTCAGGATGACTTCAAATTCAATTTCAGAGGAAAATGTTGTCAAGGATTTTTTTTATGCTTGGGTTATTTTGATTTATTTCAGACTGGCTCGTATTGCGTCTTGGTCAGGATATCAGAATTTAAAGTTCTTAAATTTCGTGCATTTTTTCATTTGAAAATCCAAGAATTTCACTTACAATGCTTGCCTTGTCTTTAAAAGAAATTAACTAAAAAAGGCTGTAATTCATGTTCTATTTTTGCTCTGGGACATTTGTTATTCAAGAATGTACTGATCTCCTTCATTTGAGTCTTTTTTTTTATCAGGGGAACCACTTCAAATATCTTCCTATGCTTATGAATCTCACTCCTTCAAAATTTATTAGGATTCATTCCTGCTCACAATTGCTTATAAAATAATATTTCATCCGTATTATACACTGGAACCGTGTGACATGGCAAGTTGAACTCGAAGAGCTGATTTTCCGTATAAAATGGTGGATATTTTCGCAAAAGCTTTGCTCAAATTGTATACTGCAGTACAATAATTTGCGGACTCGTGTAAGAAGTACCGCATTTACTCAAGTACCAAGGGCACTTTTTTCCGGAAGTTGAAGCGGGAAAAGAAGAAGCCTCTTATTTTGGGATAAATTTTTCCAGGAAAATTCCTAAAACCTGTACCACTCACTCATGAAAGTACTGTATATCTTAAAAAATGTGTGGCGCCGTAAGTCTCATTTTTCATGAGAAATAAGTGGTTCAAGCAATGGAAATTTTAGAAATACTGTAAATCAGTTGGAGATGCAAAAGGAAGGGGAAAATACAGTTGGACCTCCATTACTGGAACCAGTCTGAGTGCAATCGCAGTCTGAATTCCCTTACAAACAGTGCATTAAACACATTTCTAACTGGAGGGCTTTTCCTCTCAAACCTCTGTACTGTAACTTAGAATTTTCTCAGGCCTTTTGGCTATTATTTTCTTGACACTGGAAAGAGATAATCAATAATAAAAAATGACACTGCTGTGTTTTGATAGGTAGTGATGGAATAATTTGGCAAATAAATGTTTGCCTCCAATTTCAGCATATCTTGTCAACTCATTTATTGAACAATTCAAGGCACAGAATTTCACCAGTTACATTTTCCTGTAATTCTTCTATCTTTGCAACAAGAAAAGGTTTTGTTTCCCAAAAACCTCTCCATGTCCATTTTTGTTGTTGCTGATTTTTTGAAATTTGACAAGAGAGGGTTGACTGTATTCATGCAATGGAGGAGGCTGCCATATACAGTCAAACCCTGATTTAGTGCCATCAATTGCCCTGGCACTGTGGCACTAAGCAAGGGTGACACAAAATTGGTGGTATTTTATTGGAGAAACTTTCAGTTGAGGGCTTCTATTATGGGTCAAATAGGCTTTTTTGCAGACTTTTAAGCCATTGAGTATGTTTTATAAGAGAGAAAGGCGCAGGAAATAATTTGAGGCTGAAATAAAATGTTTTACTGCATTTCAATGTATGTACAGTAATAAAGCGGAGTACACAGTATTAGATACTTGTACTTATTGGGTCAAGCTAGTAAAGGAGGGGAACTGTTTCTTGCAATGTCATGTCAACCTTTCAGTAAAAGCACACAATTCCAAAATGAGGTGGAGTGATTTTTATTATTTCAGAGAGGCTATCATCCCAGTTATTGGGATGATCCTTGCTGTGGAATATATTGAAATAATTCTACCCAAATTGATCTAAATTCAGAAATATAATTTTCATAATTATCTTGAACATGTGATTCTCAACAATAATCTAAAGATATCCCTTGAAATTAGACTTAATTTCTCTTATTTTGGCCTGTTTTTCATTCAGGACAAGAGATGTTTTGTGGCACTCAGTGAGGTTGGTACTAAATTGAGGTTTTCCATAAGAACACAATGGAGGGAGATTTGATTCCATGAAATTTGTGGCACTATGCAGGGGTGGGGCTAAATCAGGGGTAGACTGTATTACAAGTTCATTTCAACTAATCTTGCAGACAGTAAAAAAAACAGGAACAGCAAAATATTCTTGGGAAAAAATGAATCCACACAGAAATTCACAATTGATGATTTTCAGCTACAACAAGAAAACAACTGAGGTGCGGGTCTTGCACCAATATAGATTTTTGGGCAAATTTCTCACAAAAGATTGGGGTGTTTGCCTTACTATGTATCAGGGGGTGTGGTATTTGAGTACAGTAAATATGGTACAGTACAATACATAAAGTGTATGAAGTCTTTAATTTTATTTTGAAGATTATGGACCCGTCCTGCCAACGGAACCAGAAGAGACCAGGATGCCTGGAGGCTTCAAGCTCATGGAACGCGGATGAAGTCCTTGGGTATTCTCGGTGACGCTTTGTTACCTCAGTATTGCATGCAGAATGAAGGAAAGTGCGAAAAATATCCGGATAATGCGGATGTATGAGGATGACGACTCATGTCATCCACCGTTCGCATTTTTTGCTGAAGTCGGCGAATTGTGATTTGTTTCGATGCGCAACTTTCATTCTTTTCCCAGCATGCATTTTCTGCGCCATGTCCATGTCGTGTTGAAATGTTTGCTCGGAAAAACCTGCGTGTCATCGTGTCAGTCGTGACGATGACAGGTGTTATTGAGAATACATTCTACGTATCGGCGGTATTTTTGTAAGATAGCTGACAGAGTTCACTGATTTTGGTCAGAAGATCGAGTCGATCGAGAAGGTTATTCAGCTAGCATATGATGAATAATTGTTCTTTCACGAAGAACGTGTTGGAAATTGGATTATCTGTATGAGGTAAATGATGTGTCTTCACTCAAGTTCCACTCACACTCAATTACAGTAGATTACTTCAATTCATATGTACCCAACAGAATCTCGAGAGATGTGTGCTGCTCGTTCATTTTAAAATAATGAATATACAGTATATGATACTGTTTCTTCATCTGTTCATTCACGACATAAATCATCGGGCATTTTCAACGTACAGTATATGAACACCATGAAGATCATGACACAGTAACAGCATTTTACGCGGCCAACCAGACTTCATCTATTTTTACTGAATTACTCACTTTACTTGTTACTCCATTTACTCATGGCATCGGACTATTCCTGTCCGAATAACTTTTAAAAGTCCTTATATTTATATTTCCAAGGCGGAGTTCTGGTTTGTATCTGTGTGTGAGATTGCAGAAGGTTTGCATCCGTTTTGACCTAATTTCGATATATATTTATGGTCTATTCCATGGGAGATTGTGATGAATAGGCTGCTTATTTTATCTGCTGTTGTAGCCCCTATATGTGAAACACCAAGAAACTCGATGATAAAATCCTGCTATATATGTAATCCCAAAAAGGTCTGCAAATACTGTACTAGCATAAAATAAAAAACAATAGAATTTTTATCTAGAAATGATTGAAAATATGCCGTACTAAATTTTTGGATGGTTTTGGGGGATAAATTGACAGTTTCTTCCATTTTCATACGCGTAACATTCAGAGAGATGAACACTGAATATGTTATTTTGAGGTCGCCCTTATAGAATTTCATCCTTTTTTTCAAAACTGACCCCCCAGGCCAGTTGATCGAAATTTCCATAACCTTCGGGAAGATACATTTATTTTAAAATCTTAGCGGAACGTTTTTATCCCCTTTTCAGAGAATAGTGACGTATTAACGCTTTTTTCGCAAGAAAAGTTCATGTGTGTTCCAAATACAGTATTAAGAGAACAGACAACATTATTTTGCTCGTGTCCCTAAAGTTGAGGAAAAAATGTACATGAAAGAAGTTTCAATCTATCAAGAAGCAATCATGAAAACAAAACCGGGAAAATATGCCAACTGTGCTGGTGAACAGCAGTTTTTCTCAGCCATCCACGACATCTGTGAAGCGCCTTTGATGAAACTACCGTAATTCCTCTATAATACGTTTTGATAAATGCTTATAGATGTCACATGAAGTCAGGTGTATCAGTTCATGAATGGATATAGAGATTTACACAATGACGGTAGGAGGGTTTTCTTCTTGCGCGGTAGATGTCACTCGACGACCGGAAGGTCCTCAGCCCAGTGGATTCGAAATGGACGGATGTGAATGACTGGCGACGTCGGAAGTCGGTTATGTTCATGCCTGCCAAAACAGCGAAAGGGTTGTTGGAGGCAGCGTTCATGGATAGACCGGAGGATCGCGTTGAAAGTGAAGCAAGTACTGAGGGTGAGGATGATGACGAGGAACAGTTGCGTACAGCTGCCGGAGGAGACGCGGGAATAGACAGTGATGACGCAGCGAGTGAGGATGCGTCAACCGCTTGCTCCCAGGTGTCTGTGGCTGTCGCATCCCTGGCTTGGGTGAGTAGATGAGTTGAATGATCGTCTGCTCTATACACGCTATAAATAAAAGATCACTGTGCTGTCCTTCGTATTGTTTGGTTTGTCGATCGTTCTATTGCTGGATAACTTCGGAGTCGGAAGAGAATTCGTATTGAAGGTACTTCCCCATTATAATTGCTGTACTACTATCGACGCTTTTGTGTGAAAGCTCTGTTGAAGACGCATGGTGAAATGCGTGGCCGAGATAGATGCAATTTCTCGTGTTGTAAGCTTGTAACGTATACGGTATTTCAATAATGAATATATGTTGATCACTCTGGGTGGAAGTGCGTTGAAGGAAATTGTGAATGGGGATCAATTACAGTAATCATATCGTGTTTCTCACATTTCTACTTCAATCCACTACATACACGCTGGCGATATGTATACAGTAAATAAAATCGTACTTGGTATTCGAGGAGACGTTTAAGGGTACCGAAAAACGTTGAAATTGTGACATCTTATTCATGAGAAAGACTATACTTGTAATTGTCCGTATTGAGCGATCGTGATTCGGTAACTGGTGGTAAATTTGTAGATTAAATCAGCGGTAATTTACACTGGAAGTACCAAGAATTCGTCGCTTTTTCTCTTATTACCCGAGTACCGTTCTTTCCCATGATATGATTTTTCCCCTGGCTGATGTTTCTATACTGTTCTATCCTTTCACGCTGATAACGGTAATTTCCATTAATCTCGAAGTACATGTATGGTCTTGTCTATTACCCAGCGCCCTGCACGTGTACTGCTTATTGTACAATTATCATTTGCGTGTTCCAAAGTCAGTTAAGTAAAGGGCAAGAGAACAGACCGCTTGAGGTTACTGTATTACCGTCGGACGTCTAGCAAATGTAACGAGAGCAATCCTCGCGTATCGCTGAATGAGAATTCAGATAAAACATGTGCCGTTGACTTCGTGAAATTTGAAACATATATTTTTGTAACTACTGTATAACCACTCCATTATACCGGTAATTAGTTAGCGATTTATGGTCGGCCTCCCAAAAGTGAAGTACTGTATACTTCCAGTCGAATGAATGCCGCGTGAATTTATGCAAATAAATTGACGTCAGCATAACATGATTTCTGGTCCCCCGCAGAAAACTTCGCAAGTCTATAACTCTCTGAATCCGCCACTCAGACGTGGTTGTTCGGACTCGAAAACACGCGGCGAGGAAGCAACTTCAGCTACCGAGAAGAACGCGGACGCTGTGAAGGATGATGAATTTTTCAGTTCATACTGTGGCGAGCATTACGACCTAGGTTCCGTAGATGTGGGATTGGGCTCTTTCGTTAGTCCATCATCAGAGGACTCCCCTGGACAACACAATACTGAGTAAGTTGATTTGCTTACTTCCTGAAAAAAATTTGGGACCGGTTTCGATGTGTTCAAGCATGGAACGAATTTCCTGCCGTGTTAATAGATCAGTAAAGTCATGTTGCATCAACAAACTCGACGAGGACGCGGGAAAAATTCGTTCTATCGAGATTTATGGATTTTAATCCTTATTGGACTTATATTTTGTGGAAAATGGCTGGAAAATAATATAGTCCTTCTTGAACAAATACTTCAAAAACTGTATTAATTCATAAATTGCTGCTGAAATTAAGAGGAACAATTTTATATATTGATGTACAGTATACACTTATCTTACATTGAACCTGCTTTTTTATACGAATGTGCTGCTAATATTGAAGATACAATACTGTACTGTATAATTAAGTACATGGAGAAATATTTCCTTCCGAAATAACTTTTTTCATTCTCATCACCCATCTGTTCTTTGGAATAGGAGACTATTCTTTCTAAAAGAAATTTTGATTTTAATTCAAGTTATAAATTCTAAAACAGGACTAATGAATTTCCAAAAAATATGTCATATGTGCTGTGTGTTTTTTTTTTTTTTAAATAAATCTTCTCTACTGAGAGCTCTGCTTATTTGAAAGTTATTTTGCTGCAAAGGTCCGATTTTTCCATTTTATGTCAATCATCAAATAATGTCTATGGCTCATCCAACTGTTGAAAAAAACTGCTGCAGACATTCAGAGAGAAAATGTCTGAAAAACTTCGACGATTGCTTCTGGGAGGATTTTTTTGAAGTGACGATATAATATTGTCGACTCCTCAGTGAAGAAAATTGATATTTATGCATAGAATTTGCAATAATGATGTACGCCAATCAAGATCTGATGTACTTCTTGGTTCCCTCTGCTGAAAACGTAAGAAGGTTGCATTCTTTGTAAAGCAACGATGAAGTGATGGATTTTCCGGCATACTATGTTCTTTTCACTATAGGGGCTAGAAAAACCCAAGAATATTCATCGAATTATTTGAGTTGAAACGGGGTACTTTTTTTTCAGGGGCTCACCCGAGATAGCGGTGGATGATTTAGAATTACGGCGACGAAATGAAACTTACGAAAGGAACTTGGAAAACCTGGAGAACTTCCTCAAAAATAACGAAATGGCCCTTGACGACGACGATGGCTATTCCGCCGTTGAATCCGCCCAGTTGAAATTTAACGGTCGAGAAGCCAGTGGACGAGCGAACGTTTCCGTAACCTCAAGTGAGGTTGCCGTCAGAGTGAGTAATTTTTTCAACTACATAATTCGTGAAACAATATTATTAAAGGTTGTGATTTAAATACTGTACTGTGCCAGAGATCACGTTCACTTTTCAATGCGTGAATAAGTAAGGTACAATACAAGTTACCCGACATTTGAGCAAGCGTCACATTTGAGCATTCAAGCATTTTGGCAAGGGAACGCATCAGCATATGGTCATTTCAGCATTACAACATACAACTGTTGAACATGCACAAATTGCGTCATTTCAGCATGAAAGCATGATACCAATACAGTGAGACCTCCACATGCGGGCATAATTGGTGCATCAAGACTTCAAGAGCATCCCTAAGTTGAATTGTCCCTAAGTCTAGTCTCGTTTTGCCATAGACTTGAATTATATAATTTTAATTAGTGTTTATGAAAGAAATATTCCTCAGAATTTCATGAAAAAACTTTTTGCCACTTGAATTTGATGCAGTGAATATCTTTTCAACCCAATAGGAGCATTTGGAGCATTGAATAGTAAACCACTGAACAGTTCATTGAAATGCTGGCATCCGTAAAAATAAAATCCAAGTCACAAAAAGAGAAGCAAGTCCCTCTGTGCTTCATGTAATTTTTTTCAATTAGCTGAATGGATGGGAAATGATAGGAAAAGTACCTAAGAATTTTTCTTACATTGATCATAAGGTTGGAAATATCTGTTTCTTGCAATTAAGCCTAATAAAAGCAAATTTCCCTAAAATTTATTGGAAATTTTATCATGCAATGTCCTCATGTTGAGTCAGTGTCCCTATGTTGGGCCTTCTTCATGATTTTTTTAAAAAATAAATGTCCCTATGTTGAATTGTCCCCATTTCAAGGTGTCTGCATATGGGGGTCTCACTGTACATGAAAAATGAATTGAGTGGGTTTGACAAGTTTATCATTTGCTCCATTTTGTTTACATGAAATGCCATTCAACAGCTAAAAAATAACTAAAAAAATGTAGCAGCAGGCCCATCATCAAATTAATTCCAATAGGGAATATTGGAAAAAAATCTTGCATGATCTGAGTAAAACACTTCCCTAGCTTTTGCACTGGCAAACCTTGCAATATCATATATGTCTAGTTTGTCAAGTTCTTCATGATCAATTGATATCAGTGGTAAATTTGAAATGGGTCCCTGGTTCATTGTTGATCTCAAGTAATTCTTTATGATTTTCAATGTTTAAAAGCTTCTTTTAGAAGATGCAACAGTTACTAGCAGAGACAAGAAAATTCAGAGTGAAATAGCAGTGCAGTATTATGAAATTAATCAATAAGATTATTATTGTAAATGCAATTTAGTACTTATGTCTGATATTTTTCCCCCAGCAATATTGAATGGATACCCATTCCTTAGCATGTGAAATGTGTACATGCTAAACTGTTACCTTTCTAAAAAGTTGCTATAATCAAATGTAGCATGCTGAAGTGTTGTACGCTTGCTCAAATGTCCCGTAACAACAGCACAATAATCGCAACAGCACTTCAATATATTTGAAGTCCTGCGAAAATGCTTCGTCGTTGGGGATCAACACTGTACTGTACTCGAAAGGAGGAGAAAGCACGCTCCGATTTTGCATTCGCTCGCGGTTAGAGAGTTCCGCACACTGTATATTCACTGTATTCTTCTCGGAAAAACTTTTCAGGATGTCTCTCTGAACGAAGTAGATCGCGTGTTGCAACAAGTCCGCCGAGTGCGAGATAACATCCAGCAGATCCACGATCAGCGCAAGCAACGCATTGCGGCTCGTAAGCGCGCGCTTCTCGAGCAAGAGCGCCAACAGGACATGGCTGCTCTCTATGCTGCGACTCTGCCGCCAGCACCAGCAGCAGCATCAGTTGGGTCCCTTCCCGTCACACCAGCACCAATCTCGGTAGTCAAGTTGGAAGAATTAGAAGAACTTCTCAACAGGCGTGAGCAATGCCGGGCACCACCTACGCAAGTGACCTATCAGGAAAAGTTGTTCCGTGAAGTTGGAACTGAACCTGATCAACACTTGGTCGTAGAACCTGAGAGTGTTATTCCAGCACCGACGGAGTTGCCAGAAACTGTTGCGTCAGCGCTTCAGGAACTTGGTGATGGATTGCAGCGCTTGAGGGATCTGGAAGCCAGAACCTTGCAATTTTTGGAACATTTGGAAAACCGGTTCTCTTCTGTTAGATCGCCGGAAATGAACGAAAGTCCCATCATCGATTCGGAGCTCATCGCCAAGAAGCTGCAGAGTTCTGCCGTCTGCAATGGTTCTCGCCAGAACAACACCAGTGCCGTATCATTGCCGAGTTTGAAGGTGGACCTGCTGGCAAACAACCAGAAATTGCAAAGGCCATCGGAAAAAGTGCCGGAAAAGTTTCCTCTTGAAGAAGGTCGCAGAGTTGATTTTGTTACCCAAGCCCCGCTTCGGATTCCAACGAGCAGCAGAAGATCGCCTGTGGCTGCAATTCAGTCGAATTCGCCGCCGGATTTTGAGTTGGGCGAAGGTTTGGACATGCGCTCTGATGAAGGAGATTCTTCGAATTTGACGGGGATGAAACGGAGACAATCCGAGTATGCGAGTGCTTCAGCGAGAGTACAGCAGAATAAGCCGACTTCCAGTGAAATCTACGCCAAGATTTCCCAGTATCAACGTGATCTCATGGACCGGAACAGGTTAGGAATTTACCCCGATGACAGATTCATTGTATGAAATATATTTCTATGTGGAGAGCTTTTTAAAGAGTGATGCGTCTTTTCGAAGAAGAATTTTTCTTGATTGCTGGTGGTGCGAAATACCATAGTCTGCTTTCAGTTGATGAAAAATAAATTCATTCAAACAATTCAGATGAAAAACTCTTTTACATTAATTGTATGGTAACAAACTTATGTACTTATGAAAATCTTATGTACAGCTATTAAAGAATTTCTTTTGTGACTTGATTTGTCAAAAAATTCTACACAATGGATGTCCTAATTGTATATACATGCTTGAAAATTCTGAAATTTTTAAAAATGGTTATAATCTTTCAAATTTTTCTAACGTTATTAGCATTTGCCATCTTTTCAGATTTGTCTACGTATTTTTTTAGACACTGCATAAATGGAAAGGAAAAACTTCAGTTATTGCAACCAAAGTTACCACTCATTTCACTGTTTGCTGAAAATGTGTCATGATAAAGTTTAAAAATTTAACTAATGTTATTGTTCAGGTACCTGGAGAATATATTGTGTTTCTTGTGTGTGATTGTGGATGATTGATTTCTTGTATTCAGTAAAGATGGAAAATTGGAGGCTGCAATGACAAGCCGTTAATTTACAAATTTGCTAATTTTTCTTACAATCCCTTGCTAAATAGTTTCTGCATATTACAAGTACACTAGTTTATTCTATCACAACTTTTTATACTGTTAATTTCTCATTTTCCAGAAATAATCTAATGCAGTGGTGCCCGACTCAAAAGTGGTGGAGGGACACATCAAGAAACAAGTCTTTTCTGTGAGCCACAGTATTATAAATAGAATATATATTTTTCAAAATTTTAAGATATTTATAAATTTAAAAAGTCAACAAGTCCCTTCATTTTTTCAAAAAGCTTGGCAATTTCTCAGAGTAATATATAATATATAACAAGTCTTTGTGTCTGGACTTGGTAGCAAAGATTGCATTCCTAGGGAACTGTTTTTTTTAATGACAAACACGGCAAAACATTTGGCCATTGAAGGATGTGAAGAAATATTTGCTTGTCATCTATTCTATATCGAGCACTCTGCATTCGTTGTCAATTTTTGTGTGTCACTGCTTTCAGCCATTTTTATTTAAGCTTAAGCTAAGACAATATTGTTGGGATTGTCTGCGGGTCAGTTTGAAGGCCTACGCGTACGGGCCAGATCTGGCCCGCGGGCCGCATTTTTGGCACCCGTGATCTATAATGCATCAGCATGTCTATCTCTGGGTGCAATTGTGTGGAACCTGATGCAGGAGAATGCATTGATAACTATCCAAGAAGGAAGTCTGATTTGTCCATAGAAAGAAAGTGGGCTACATCAGAGGCAATTAAACATCTGGTAGATTATCTTTGTACAGCCAATCAGAAACCATATATTTGAAATAAAAGTTCAAGCCACTGGAAAAACGGATTGATGAGTGATTGCACAGAAATTATCCTTGGTAAGGGATCGTGATAAAGAAGTCAAGAAAAATTAAAAATCAACACCTTATTATCCTTGCCACCTTCTCCCCCTTGCCCCTCTAAAAATATTTTAATTTTAACAAGGAAACTCATCATTCAAGAAAATTGGAATTTTTGCCACGTACAAAAACATTATGAAGTTTTGAAGTATTTATTAACACTATAACTAAATTTTGATTTTAACCTATCGTGCCAAAATTTCCAGCGTGCTTCGATATGAGTGGGAAACTTTTCTCGTAATAACCAGAAAGTTTTCAATTTTTAATCCTCGTATACAATGTCTTGCAAATTTATTTGCGTAGAAGAACGTTACGAGTGAAATTTTATCCCTTTATCTTCAATGTTCATTTGTATTGAACAGATTCAAGTACACAAAAGGTTATCGGAGGGGATTGAAAACAGCATCGAGGGTCATAATGGGCAGAGAAGCGCCAGCACAAAGCAGCACTCATCATCGCAACAGTGCAAATACGACATTAGCAGCCTCAGCTGGTGTAGCAGCAGGAAGCAGCATGAGTTCTCATCCGGATCAGGGAATGGATCACGAAGCTCTCTTGCCGCACACCTCTTCGGAGTTGACCTTCGGGTTCCTGGCCCGGGACAGTATTCTGGACGGGTCGGAAATATTTGCCATCCCTTCCCCGGCGTCTCGTCGCAGGAGTCAGCAGCAGATCCTTGAAATTGGCTCAGCTCGGTCGCGGTTGCTGGATTATGAGAGGGGTCATCAGCCTCAGTGAGAATAGCTCTTCAAGTTTTAAAGTCGAATCCGGTTTATATCTTAAATGGATTCCCAAAAGCTCTGCTTAATGTCCTCATCGGACTCAATTTATGTCCCATTTGCGCAGATGCATGCCCAATTTTTTTGCAAAGCTTCTTACAAATAATTCCTCTTATGAGACTTGAATGTGTATTCATGCCTGATGGCTTTCTCCTTGCTAGGAATTGAAGAATTACGGTGTGTTGTACCGATATAGAGAGGGTATCTGCTGGGCTTATCTAGTGTTTTCAAGGTTTTCCTCACAATCAGGTCATGTAGATTTAATTGGAGAAGGCCTGCGTGATAAGTTGTGGAAATGTGTGCAATGTTATAAAAGGAATAATGAATTCCTGAAAATTGCGCAAAATTCTGAAAATAAAGAATAACTCTTCCCATTATTAATATCATTATTGCATCGTTCTCGAACACACCTTGAAATGATCAAATTACAATACTGTACAGCACTTTTCTGCCACAATTTTCAAATTTCATGGAAATCTTTTGAAAATGGATTAAATTGCTGACGGTAGTATCCTATTGAGAATGGGGTTTCAATTAAGTTAAACCGCTCGAATTTATTGCAGACAGAAATTGTAGCCCACTAAGATGGGTTTTTTTAAGCAATACAAGTATCAGTGACCTATTAGGTACAGTTGAATGGGTTCCAATCCCATTCTATCCCATGCTATTTCTGAGGGAGGTGAGCGACATAATTTCTCGTTGAAATTTCAGTGATAGGCCTTTATTCTGTATTCTAGTTCTGATCATATACGGTAAATCATTGTGTGGGTTTGCATCAGAATTGATGTGGTGCGTTGACCCACATAGGTATGGTAGTTCTTCTTGAAGAACTTGTGTACAGTACAGAATTTTTGTTGCTGCTCTTTTAGTCAGCTCGCATTCAACCTTTTTATGCCGCCATTTTCGCAGGATGGGTTCAGATGTGCGACGATCGCGATTTTCCAGTGAGATGTCCACCATTTCCAGCAACAATAATAAAGCTGGTGGCAGGTCGACTGGCTTGCTGGGGGCACGTCGCGTATCTGCTGCAGAAAGGCGCGGGGGTTTCGGAAGCCGGATGCGCAGTATTCTGACTGGAGATGACCCATTCAGTGTTGCCATGATGATGACGACACTCATGATCCCGTTGTTGTTCTTGCTGGCTCGAGAAGTGCAGAAGAACGGTTCGCTGCTGTCGGCGAATAATAAATCCTGATTGAAACTCTCTCGCTTTCCGTACTGGAAACGATGAAGTTTAATATGCTGCTGGTTGGGATGCATACGTTTTTGAATTTTATTCCGTTGGAAATCCTTTTATACTGCTGCTGACGGTTGAAAATGGAGCTACTGTGTGTTTCATGCTGAAGAATAATCAAGTAGTTTGCTCTATCAGCACAAATACCTTTAAATTCTGCACCAATGATCATTGCTGTCCCAATTGCATTTATAGTTGCTGCAGTTATGTACCATATCACGCACATTAAGTGTATGTATGTGATCGAGTTGGTGCCAAAATAACCAGCTTATTGGTATACTCATGTAGCATGAGCCCCTATACCTCTGCAGAAGATCCAGGCAAAGGGTGTTAGACTTATTTACATTTGAATTTAAATACAGTATATTTAAATAAAACATGCTTGATAAAGCAGAATTCAATACTCTATTATTGCTATTTTACCTATTGTATTTTATTGACATTTTCAATTTAACTATTGTAATTACTTTTAACCAATTGTGAAATATTTTAATTTTATTTACATTTTTAAATTGTATTCACATCTTTTACTTTTATTAACATATTTTGATTATATTAATTTTGTAATTGTAATCTATCAGTAGTTGATTAAATTTATATATTAATTATAATCGTTATAAAAGCTCAAGATTTGGGTGGGCTGAAGTGTGGAAATGTTTTATCTGATGCAGACAATGTAATTAAGCATTTAATGGAATGTATAATAACTGAAGCCAATTTTTTCATAAAATACATTACAAAAATCTGAGAATGCCAGAAGAGCAAGATCTAATGATTACAGGCATGTCTGACAATGAAAAATGTGTAGTCGTCAATTTTTAAGATTGTTACAATGAATTATTCATTGCAGTATAACAAACTTTTTCAATGGTCCCCAAAAATTTGCTGTAAAAAGATGTAACTAATGTGGAAATTCTTCCATTTCAGAAACTGTTCTTCATAATGCCTTTACAGCACAGTACTTACGTCAAGGCTGACTTTAACTAGACCTGGTACAATATTCATTAGTTGAACACTTTTATAGGATGATCAGCGAAAAATGAGTGCTGCACAGCACAGCAGGTCTGGGTCACTATAGCTTACCTGCACTATATTAAGAAATGTATTCAATTGTACAGGTCATTCCGCAGCAAATACCTTTATAAAGACTTTCAACAAAAGGAAACATTTTGTTTCCTATCTATACTGTACAAGCAATTCCAACTGTTTCATGATTTACTGTACCAAATTACTTTTTCAGGTTTCTTCTGCAAGTTTCTTCATATATATACAGTATAGTTGGTACAATATTTTTTTGCTGTCCAAATTTTCTGCTATCCCGTCACGTTTTTTCTCANAAAAAATACTTTCCCTTTGAGAAGAGGGCCCCATGCCTATGCTGTTATCATGACAAAGTGACAGCAACTTTTTTAGTTTGTGAGAGGAGCTTGTTTAAACTAAAGTTTTGCAGGGGTTATACTTCTGCGGTGAAAATAATCCCCTGGGAGCTGGGACTGAGGTACACATTTTTTGTAAGCAATAATTCAAAATAAAATACTGAAATCTTACTGAAAAAAATTAGCCTCGTTCCTCAAGTGCTTTTGCCAGGGATGAGTACCAATTCGTCCAACGACAAATTCTTGCGGAGCCGATGAGATAGATATTCAACCACCATGGAGAAGCCTAAAGCCTAGCGTAAATACTGCATGGACAGAAGCAGCAGCAGCAGCGCCACCGGAACAACACCACCACCACCATTGCTGCCGCCACCAAAAAGGCGGGGGGGGGGTGGAAAACACTACTGTTATAATGTTGAGGCTGGGAGTGCAGCATAAGTTCACCATTAATATTGATTTAAAAATCAGCAGGAAAGAAGTTGGTAACTCTGGGGGTAGCTGGCCCCCATTGTGGTGGTCAACATTCCCCGACAGCTTAAGCCGGCTTAAATCTCTCGCGCCGTTTTCTCCTGGTTGATCTTCTGTATGCCCACAGGGTAAGCACAGCAGGTCTGGGTCACTATAGCTTACCTGCACTATATTAAGAAATGTATTCAATTGTACAGGTCATTCCGCAGCAAATACCTTTATAAAGACTTTCAACAAGTCCTTTGTAAAACAAAGGATAGATATGACATGTTCGTTAAGGTTGACAAAGTACTAAATGACATGGTTTAATGAAAAAGTCCAAAGAAGACGTTCAAAGAAGTATATATATGTCATATCAACCATGTATATTTTTTTGCTGTCCAAATTTTCTGCTATCCCGTCACGTTTTTTCTCACATGAATTTTGTACTGTAATGTCCTACCTCTGTTGTAAATTTACTCCTTGAAATTCTTCTTGATCTGAAGCGGTGTTCCCTGCTGTGACTGTTATGAGCCCAAAGACTAGCTTATTTTTATAATTTTTTTTTTACCAAAAAAACTATCTTCAGGCATCATTGAAAAGCTGTCCAAAAGTATCCTCACATGGTGTGTTTTCATAGCTGAGAAGAATGAAAAAAGAAACGTTTGAAGGACCGATTATTTTATATGCGTAGCATTCCCCTTGTGCTCACATCCCAGTATAAAAAGACAGAATACAATACAGTAAACAAATGCGCATGTACCGCATCTCGTTTCCGCAATGATCGGTGATTCCTTTCAGCCATGATGATACCAAAAAGCGAAGGCCTAAGGTAGTTACATAGGACCAGCAAACTTGATTTTACAATACAGTAAACAAATGCGCATGTACCGCATCTCGTTTCCGCAATGATCGGTGATTCCTTTCAGCCATGATGATACCAAAAAGCGAAGGCCTAAGGTAGTTACATAGGACCAGCAAACTTGATTTCTAAAACTGCTGTGATCGTTGGCAGCAGTTCTGAAATTTAGCAGTGTTTTTAGGTTTTTTCCGACACAGAGAATCCCCGAGATTGACACGACGGATAGTACTGAAATCATGGCCTCTAACTCCACAACAGCGGGAGTAACACACACGGAAAAATAGCTCGGATGAATGTCTACCATTTTATAAAGCAGGCAATATAGTTGCTAGAAAATGTAAGATCGTATGAGTGTGAGGCGTTATACATTAGAAGGATGGATTCAGAATTAATTTGACTTCTCTGTAAATCTGGCAGAAGTCCACCATTACCAAAACAATGTAGGGAAAGTGCAGCTATGGCATGTGTACTGGCGAGAATGTCTCACCAGCAGTACATATGCCATATACAGCCTGCCTTGTTTTCATATAGCCATCAGTGTTTAATTCATATATGCATGGAGAGTTTCTGAAGGTGCGCATAATCTGACGGTGATTCCTTTAAAATGCTTGCATACTTTTTTGTCAATGAACTTTTCCAGCTACAAAACGTTCTAAATCTTCTTGTGTTCTGTAATCAGTTTTTTGTCTGAGCTTTTTCTGAAATTGTCGACAGAAGTGTTAATTCAAATTAATTTCATAAATGATGGTAGATTCGTTTGGCAATTTTCCTGGGAAGTGGCAAAAGGAAAAAGCTTGTGGATAACAGGGGTCAGCTGACCATGGTTATGGAAGAACAAACCTCTATGATCAGTTGGAAATCACTGATAACACTGTACAGTAAATAGATATNTGATGGTAGATTCGTTTGGCAATTTTCCTGGGAAGTGGCAAAAGGAAAAAGCTTGTGGATAACAGGGGTCAGCTGACCATGGTTATGGAAGAACAAACCTCTATGATCAGTTGGAAATCACTGATAACACTGTACAGTAAATAGATATGCCAGTGGAGCACTGATGTACATCAGTATATTGTATTGGCCACTATTTATCAGATCAGCTGAGAGGACTCAGCAGTTCACTTCATCCACCTTATTTGCCAGCTGGTTGAGCCACTCTAGCAAATGTCAATAAGAGTCTGGGACTGAAGTCTTGTTTGGAATCCCATGAGGGCGTGAGAAGAGTTGAATTGGACTGTTGTGCGTTACTTGTGACTGATTTAGTGATTTTTAATTCGGTGTATCTTGCTGTTGAATTCTTTAATTTATGAAAACCAGGAAATTGATGACCAACGTTCTTGGAATGGTTGATAAACTCAGTAATTCTAATGACATTCCAGCACTGCAAGAGCCAGAGGCATGGTTCCCGAAGGACACAATCCGTTAAATCTTTATTATTGCGGGAAAATCGTGTTTTTCAGTAAGCCGTCAAGTCTTCGTGTAAAGCATTGAACCGGAAACAGTTCAGCGACACGCGCCTTTTCTTTGCCAACGTTATCAACCTTGAACACATCGGTTTTCAAACTTCACGCGTTCAGCGAAGTGAACAAGTGAGAGACCCATCTCTGCTTGGAGTTGCGGTCCTCCTTTCTTCTCATGCCTTCTACAAGCTATCTATTGTCGAAAGATTTCATTCTTTTGCTGTGCTGCTATTATTTTGGATTAACGTGGTCGAGTCTATCGATGCTGTCTGTTTCTCTTTCCGCGTACAGTTATCTAGGAACGCCTGGTACAATCGTGAAATTGCAGTGATACGTGATCGTCGCTACCGTGGAACGCTTCGCTCTTTTTCGCCGGCAGGGCAACTCCGCAAAGGAGACAGAGCCGGGTTGGTTCGACAACATGGTATGATTTATGTCGAATTCCGACGGTGTAAAATTACTTGACATTTCCCATTATTTCCAGCACAAATTAAAATCATCACAACGCGAAAAAGTTCGGCAATTCATAACATTCACCAACACCGGCGAGAAAACTGCGATCTACTGTCTTCAGCAGAATGATTGGAAATTGGACCTCGCATCCGATAGGTTCTTCCAATCGCCAGAGTTTTACGTCCGAGATTCGAAACCTCCAGTTGATCGGAAGAAACTGGAAAGCTTTTACTCGAAATACCGTGACCCAACGGAGCCGGATAAAATTACGGCGGAGGGTGTAGTGCGTTTGTTAGACGATCTCGGTTTGGATCACGATTCTCGGTTGGTGTTGGTGTTTGCGTGGAAGTTGAAAGCTGCCACGCAGTGCGAATTTTCGAGAGATGAGTTTATAAACGGACTCACCGAGCTCGGGTACGTTTGATCATACCTAACAGCATCCAAACATTATTCACTGTGAAAATGTCTCGTTTTTAGCTGTGATAGTTTAGAGAAGCTCAAGGTGAAACTGCCAATGCATGATGCCGAGCTCAGGGACGCTGGACGATTCAAGGATTTTTATCAATTCACGTTCAATTACGCGAAAAATCCAGGGCAGAAGAGTCTAGACTTAGATATGGCCATTGCCTACTGGAACATCGTTCTAAGTGGACGATTTCCCCTACTCGAATTGTGGTGCAGATTTCTGCAGGTGAGAAGCTCGCATTGAAGTTATTTCTTGTCAGCTTTGAATCTATTTTGCGCTCATAATACTGTAACAGCAAGTTGAAAAAAAAAATTGGGTGTATCAAGATGCAGTATTCTGATACCTTGAGTGGTGTGACCGCGTTGCATTTTTCATGTTGTAGGAGAACCATAAGAGATCAATACCAAGAGACACGTGGAATTTACTATTGGATTTCGTGACCACGATTGATCCTGTGATGTCTAATTACGATGAAGAAGGAGCCTGGCCAGTACTTATCGACGACTTCGTAGAGTGGGCTCGGCCGATAGTAACCTCTCATCACTCAGTCGCTGCATCCTCGTCGCAGAGCTTCTCCCATCAGGGTACACGTGTGTGAAGTCCGATTTTCATGTGAACCGTTTAATTTGGAATAAAAATTCTTTCCTCCTCATCCGCGGGCGAACACATTTGTCTTGTCTGCGGGGAAAGTGGCTACCTGCTCGCGAACCCCTTCCCCAGAAACGCGGGAGACGGCTCGAGTGTCGTGTAGATGGTTTCTTTCGTTGTATAGGACAAGTCCTGTAGCCGATGCGGTTCTGTAAAAGTGACTTGAAATTACTCGGGAATGTGTAATGAACATATAATTGAAATATTACCGTCTTGCCCCTTTCGCCTCGTGCGTTTCTTTCTCAAAACGAATTACCTTCTGTGTATGTAGGCAGTGTCAAGTATACAGATCGTCTTATTTTCGCATGAATACGGTAGAGTTATGAATTTAGAACCGCTTTACTTAACAAATTATATAGGGGACTCTCACTACAACGAATTTCAGGGGAACTGAAAAAAAACGGATTCATTGTGCAGAACCCCTAAGGGACAAAAAATATCGTTGTGCTGAGAAAATCTTTGGAGGGAGAATCTGTTTATGGACTGAGTATGTTCTATCCGAACTGGGATACGACTTAGAGTTGATCCGTTCTATTATTCGCCTGCTATGTTCTAATTCTGTTGCGGTATGAAAATACGCTACCGTATAGATGAGTGTCACATCAGCTGTTGAAAAGATTGGCGGGGATCACATTTCAACAATGCGTGATGCAAATATGAGGGAACGTTTGATAATGTTTTGATTGACAGGAATTCATGCAATTGGTTGAGACTTTTTCACTGGAAATTATTCATGTGCAAATATTGCTTCGCCTTGAACGACTGAACTGGTGTATTCAATTTTGAATGACCGTAGGTTTTGTATCGATGACGTGTATTTTCGTGGCTCTTTTCAAACGATTGAACTAGCGTGTTCTATTTCAAATGACCGTAATTTTTAAAAACTCATTTACTGTACTTCGAAAATTTACTGTATTTACCCGATTACCACGCGCACCAAGGTTTTTCCGTCAAAATCTTTATTAAATTGTATATCTGAGGAAGACGTGCACCCAATTGTAGTGACTAAAACTGCAATATTATGAAAACGAGAGCCCCAAAATTTAATTTACGAATGAATTGATCCTGAATTTAATCAATTTTTGATTGTTTCCATGAAAATACTTTTTTTTGAAATGGCGTAAAATAACCAATTAGAATTAAATATAATGCACACCTAAGCGTCTATCACCTTTTGAAAAATTCATATTCGCCTATGACGTGCACCCCTTATTTTCATTTCAATTTTCATAAATAGGTACGCGTGGTATTCAAGTGAACAATCGTCAACAACCCCTGTGAGTGTCAATTTTGACACATTTTTATCTATTCAAAAAGAAAAGCGCATCGAATGGTCTCATAATTAATTTTTTCCCCACTCTTTAAACCTCTCTCATGCTCGGTATTCCTCTCGAATTCATTGATTGATGAAATATTGCCGAAGTAAAATGTGTGATCCGTAGGTTATGCATTGGATTGACTGTCTCTGAAACAGCTCGTCCACCGCCAGTATTGATTCAACAGCTTTCGCAGTAAATGTTAGGTTTGATTGACGTGTTTGATCAATGCGCTTCTGGCTTCCGAGCTCTCCTCTTGCACTCGTTGATATATAGTCCTCAGTTGATCCGATGCAGTCAGTCTACTCGTATCGTGGTAGAAGCATTTTCATCTTTTCGAGGAAATTGATTCGATATGAAGGCTACGGTGGGTGTCAAAGGCTTGCCTATGCCCTTCGTGAGTATTTCGACCTGACGTTTCATCAGATTTCACCTGTGCCTCATGTTACGTTTCTTTATTAACGTGCCTCTATTCAGCGGGCTCCGAACCGGACCAAGAAATGTGTGGAAGAAAACGGAGGTCATCGACGAGGAAGTGGTGCAGTTCTAGGAGACACTCCGTGGAAGATGTTGCCGAATTCAGCGCTACGGAGTTTCGGGTCTGTGAAATTTGGCAGGGCATGTCCGGAACTCAGTCCTGATCAGGTACTGTGGTTTGATGAATTCAAGATCTTAAGCTAGATTTCCCAATACTGTAATGTGCGTTCATTTTTATATTTGAGTTTAGTTTCTCTGCTTTGAAAACCTTTTTTATTTTCGGAAAATTCCGACGAGGCCAGAAAATTACGAACGGATTCCAGGGATCTGAGACTTGGGTTCTTCTTTAATGGTTATGTTACAAAAAGACGAATAGTTTGTCATCGAAGACCGAGTAACGAGAGAGCATGAATACAAAACAGCTGTTTTCATTAATGGAGCTTAACAGGAGAAAAACTTGAATTTTTTTGGCTTGCTCTTTTGAAGTGCACCTTTCTTTATTTGTGGATTTTTCGATTTTCCGAGGCAGTTATGAGTGAGGTGGAAGGCTTATGATTTTTTCTGCTCGCAGGAATTCGTGGCATCCGTCATTCGGTCGCTGAGCAGCGGTGATCCGGAGGAGCCTGTAAATTTGGTGAGTTTCAACTACAGAAACGGATCATGGACACCAGCCGTTCGTCAGATTTCATCCACTCATTCCGGGACACTTGAGCTGTTCGAAGAAGACTCTGAACTCGTGCATCGAGATTCCGTCGACGGTAAACTAGTCATCAATGCTCAGAAAGCAATTGATCTCGCGAATGCTTCCGAAAATCGTCAGGATTTTCGCAAGAAGATCGCCAGCGGTGAGTCTCGATTACATTACAATACTTCCTCGTCTCGTTTTTTTTTCTCTTAATTTTTGGTTTCGTTTTATTCAAAGCTCGCAGAAATGTGATGACTGCGACGAAGGCAGCTGTGCAGTTTAAAATGGATGAAATGTACAAACGAAGCTCTAGTACTGAGAAGCATCATTCGTCGGACTCAGATTCTGATGTGGGATTCATTATGAATTCCAAGGATACCTCCGTTCATCATGTCCCGATGGCGTCCAACAAGTTTGACTTCTACGAAAGAGGCACTCAGACCGGTTCCACATCGAGCAGAGTGAGATTACTTTTTTCTTATAACCTCGATTCTGGAATTTCTGTAATAAAAAAATAATAAAAACTCGTGAAAAATTGTTCAAACAACGCAATAAGCAAGCTCTATACCCCGTTCTCTCGGTTTATTCCTGTATTTTAGATTAAATATTGTACTGTATAATCTAAAATACGGTAAGAACAGTTTTCAACAGTCTCTGGTAAATTGTGTACGATGTCGGTTGTTCAAGCATTTTACGGAATTTTTCTTCTGCTTTATGTTGGTGAAATTCCAAGGCCGTGCGGAGCTTTTGTTTCTCGTCATTGGTTCAGGAGAATAATCGCATGGAAATTCTGAACGAAATTATCGGATATCTCGACTGAACGAGCAACAGTAGTGGCTTTTCTGTTCATCTTATCCTATTGGATGACATTTTTCGCCTCAGGAACGAAAGATGACTTACTGTCCGAAATTCAGGTATAAGTTCGATTGGATAAAATTGTATTCATGTAGGAACTCTTTCCATGTACAATTTTCCGATAATTACTCAACTGTAATTGTATTTCTACATTTTGGTTTATCATTTTTGGATAAATAATAAAATAATTTGCATCTTTCCAAAAGCCGTCGATCTCATCATTTCTTTGAATTTTCGTACAAATTCAATTTAAAAAATAAAATGACGTTTTTTTTTAGCGTTGAGAGTAAATGTGTTACCTCGCCGTTTTTGAAATTCCAAAATTTTCCGCTTGGGAAAGTCTTCTGAAACTTGGTGAACGCTGAAAAAGAGCAAATAAAGCACATCAGTCAATCAAAATCACCCCTCCGTGAATAATTTAGGAATCTTGCCACTTCGCTAAACGCTAGTATGGATATTTAAAGGAATTCGATTTAATTTTCCGCTTGACATTATAATTTTATACTTTTTCCCTGGCCGCAATTTAAGCGGGAACCGCAAATTCTCAGCGAGCGCGGCATTGTCGTCATGGGAAGCGAATGAAAAAAATTATTGTGGGGAAAAGCATAAAATTGGTCCTTCATTTGGAAAAATAATTGAAAATTTTATTGAAGACCCTCCTCACTCATTCTGTCCGGCTTCTTGTTCCGTGCTTTCTGAAGTGAAAGCTTTTGGAATCTTTGAAAGTAGGATGCATTTTTAATAAGAAAGAAATTCTTCTGTGCTCGAAAAATATCTCGAAAGAAATTGACGATGTACAGTACAGTACTTAAATCTATTTTACATGTACTGTACAGTATATGAACATTCAGGGAAAAATGTACAATAATTTTATTCGGCCTGACTAGTTTCTTTAAATTTTCCTGTATATATTTTTTCCAATAGCAGATTGAAATGTTGAAACGGAAGTATTGAACATTTTGGTTGAACATGAAGGTGAGAAATAAATTATATCGTCTGATGGTGAAGTATTACCTGGAAAAGCTTTCCGGGCATTAAGCGATGAGAATGAGGGAGCGAAGGGCGAAGAATTTATATGCATACTCCATTCGTAATGATCCCACTAAGATCACTGAAATCGGCCAGACCCGTCGATAATGGTTCAACTCCGCAGGATAGGGACGCCATGACAGATCCACCGTGTGAAAAAGAAATGAAAGGCGTGTTCAATCAATGGATCGTTTTTGACCACTATTCATCGCACGTCATGGATTACAATCGGTCGGAACACTCGCCATTGGACGGGCGAAGCGCAAGCATGGAAGCCGAAGATCACAAGCCATTTTCCCGCAAAAACTCCTCATCTGAAGCCCAGGTTGTGCAAGAGAAGCCGAATGTCGCATCGACGACTTCCAGCAGAGCAGAAACCCTTTCACAGATGCATGGGAAATCCCCGGCTTCGACCGAGACTCCGCCGCATCCTCTGATGTATGACTATTGCTCGAAGAAGAATGACGCGATGGCGAGCGATCAAGCCCTGTTGGCCATTTTCACGCGATCGAAAAATTCGAAGGCGCTGTTGGAGTTGTCGACGAAAACTCCGAGCTACGATTTGTCATCGTTGGCGAGGAGTTCGAGGATCCTTGAGCGAATGTTGAACCAGAATTTGGATGATAATGTTTTGCTAGGTGAGCATTGTTCAGGACGTTTTAACGTGTCAGCAACTACTGTATATATTTCTTGATCCCCTCGGTTTTACGCTTGACATCCTCGAAGAAAATTGCAAGAAAAACTTAAGTTTCAGGAATAGAGACCGGTGTCCGTGTCCCCGTTACTTCGAAGTGTTGCACAGTATTTTCTTCTCTTCGGGGAAATGTACAACCTCTCGCTAAATTCTGGTACAATTTGTGTAATGAGGGATCAATTCGAAGACAGTTTTCAAGTATTAATGTTTCATCCACGCGTTGTTCTGCTTTACTCGGCTTCTTTGTGCCGCACTGAGAGTTTTTTTTATATCATCGCTATTTTTGGTGCAGGTTTTTGTTGTTGTGCCATTTCTAGATTTTCGTTATTGGGAGGACATGGCCGACGAGTTTCGTGATGTGGAAGGTACACTTCTTCCTCTCTGGGACTTCGTCAACCCAGAGAACGCCAGGAATCGAATGAAGCTGTCAGTGACAGGGATTTCGTGGTCGATTGAATATCCGGACTTGTTTGCAGTGTCCTTCGGATCGTGTAAATTGAACTCTTTGCTAGTGTTCGTGGAAAGAAAGTATAATGAGGCTTTCGAATTCAAAGATGATTTCGATCAGCAGCAAAAGTGTGGATACTTGAGTGTTTTCACGTTGAAGAATCCGCCGGTGCCGGAGTACCAGTTCGAGATGTGCTCTGGTGCCATGTGTGTTGCGATGCATCCGCAATACGCGCACTTGGTGGCTGTCGGATGCTACAACGGCGATATTCAGGTGATGCCATATTTTAGATACTTTTCCTGTTCTATTTTTTCCTCGTGCCAATCAAACCGGAAGTGTCCGAGAAGTTCCTGTGCATTTACATTTTGTTTCACAAGTCTGCGCCGCTAGCAGGAGTGCATCATTGCTCCGGAGTAAAAATGCTGGGGATTGAAACGAACTGCTAATTGAAGCAGGAAAATTTAAAAATGTCGCGTTCGTTTCAGAGATATTCCATCCGGAATCCGGTCGAACCTTCAGTTCTATCTTGGGAATGTTAAGGCACCCGCTGGGAATCAGTGGGAACCCAGAAGTGAAAAGTAGTTTGTAAAATACTGTACTGTAATTCAATAGGGTGAAATGGGTGCTGTCAGTGACATCTATCCACAATGAAGCACAGTACACGAAAACGTTGAGAAAGGTATCACATGGATTTCGTATGTATCGCAGGTTCACAGCTCAGAATTTTTTTCTCCGAAATCTTATTTAATTTGTTGAATTCAGACGAGAATGCAGATTTCTCTACCGGGAATTTCTGGTCTCAATGGACCGTTGATTGAAGTACTGTATCTGTATATTTCTCAGGTGTATGACCTGAAGACGAACAATTGTTCTGGTGCCCTCTTGTGCGAATCCATCGCGCATGAAAGTAGTCATTTCGATGCTGTTTCGTGTGTGAGTGGATGCTTTCTTTTTACGAAGTTTTGTCTTTCGGCGAGTAATTGTGATATGAATGGCATGTGTCTGCTGGGGGCACCCGCAAAGATCTGCTCGCACGCCGCGCTGGTCTTTCCTTGGATGGACATTCCCCCAAACAAATCCTTTGTAGTAAAATTACGATGTATTTTATTTTCCTCTGTTTATCTGCTTTTAAGTAAATAGGTTCGGTTATGTTGAATTAGTTTAGGTTAGGTTGTTAGGTTAGGTTAGTTGAAAAATATTCTAACTAACATGACCTAACTTAACCTAACCACCCCCAAAGTCTAGAATTTTTTAAAACAATTCAATTACAGTGAATAAACAGAGGAAAATAACATACTGCGTAATTTTACTACAAAGGTTTTGTTTGGGGGAATGTCCATCCAAGGAAAGACCAGCGCGGCGTGCGAGCAGATCTTTGCGGGTGCCCGTCTGCTGGTGTATTGTACATTTGTACCTGGGCTAAACGTCTTCGGTCGCTTTTCCGAAAATGATTTACATTTACGTCAGATTTTTCCGACTTGTATATCCCTTGATTTAGGATTGATGTCCCTGGGATTCAGTTTTTTTTTTTTGGCTGCAAATCAGGTTTTCCTGGCAGTTCGTATTCCCGTAAGCTACTGTATAGTTTGAAGTGGGGTTGAGCTGGAGTTGCAATCATGAAGTTTGTGGCGACACCTGCCCGACGGTCCGGATAACAAGGTCGATTTATGTTGCGCTTTCAATATTGATCGCGAAGGTATCCTGGATCAAGGATGACGAAGACGGTCGCGCTGTGCTTTTGTCCTTGTCATTTGATGGTTTCATTGTCGAATGGACGATTTTGCCCGGATCCAGTATCATCAAACGACACGATGTTTTACGCGTCAATATCGATCCCCCGATCATTCTCGCAGACAAGTCACTATATTATACTCACGTTAAGTCCGCCTTGTTCATCAATAGTGTTTAATCCTTCGTTTTGAGAATTAATTTATCTAGCAGTACAGTATCGTAACATTACCTGAGTTTTTGTTCTGAGCCGCGTACTACTCTTTTTTTAATTTTTTTTCAGCGTGAAGTCCAGTATGCGATCTTTAATGATGTTGCGCGTTTTTTCATTAGGTGTTCTGTGATCGTTTGCTGTTGATCATTCGTTCTTTAGATGTCTTATTTTAGAGATCAATCTTTTTGCCAATCCGTTGCTTTTCGGGTCATTTTCAGAAACCGAATGCTGTGTAACTTTAATTACATAGTGCAGATGTGTGTGAGGTTCTGTTTTAATGCTCACGTTCTACGGATTTATGTGCTCGTTCTTATAACTGTACAGAGATTTTATGAATTTTGCAATTGCTCTTCTGCGTCCTTTCTTTGCTGTTTGAATACAGCACTGGATCGTCTGTGCACGTGGATGCAGTATTTCGCAGCCACCGAGTCTAACTGAAAACACAAGCGCTTGTTTCTTTATCTTGATGAATCTTCCGCATCTTCGTAATGGCAGTACTGCACAATACTTCTCTTTCTTTTCCTTGTCTTTCCAATTTTTATTTTATTTTTCCTTTTTATCAAGAGTTTCTTCTAGTAAACGAGGCTAAAATGACGTAACCCAAGCGGTATGACCTTCATGTTCTATTACTGTATAGTGAGTGAGTTTTCCCCCTTAACGAAAGACGCACTCGACGAAAAATCCGCGTAGCGATCATTTTTAGGGGATAGAATATTTTCGGTCCGAAAATGCACGAATTCTAACAAGTTTCGATCTGAAACTTGAGCATTTTCTAGTGATCACTAAAAAACGAAAGCAACGACAGTTTGATTTACATTGTCTTCTCTTTATAATCTAGAAATTCAGAATCTAATGAGCACGAGTTTTAAAGATTCCTTTTATTTCGTGCGAAACAACATTAAATTCACAATTTTCTGCCGAAAAACATACGAATGTCACGGTCTTCTGGTGAATGGCTGCAACGAATCAAATACTGTACAGTTTATTGGAATTTTATCTTGAGGAAATACGCGTTACAAGTGACGAAAATTCGACTGAGCGAAACTCATCCCGGGACGGATTAGTATTTTTTATGCGGGTACCCACTGTACTGTATTTATTTAATTCGCATCTATCTTATTGCTGCGCTAGGTTCGACATGCTCTTCTTTTCTTCGTAATTTCTCGATGTAAAGTTGCTCTTCTGATGTGCAGTACACTTTGAAATCAACTCTTGTCATTGCATAGCTTGCGGAACTGCGCTGGCTTTTCATCACAGTGACGGCGGAGCTTTCCTTGTGGGAACCGAGGAGGGTCTCATTTATTACGGTGTTACCATGCATCAGGCCAGAATCGTGAAGAAGTTTGCTGGCCACAGCATGGCGGTCTATGGTTTGTGTTGGAATCATTATTCAGACGAGATATTTGCGTCCTGTGGAGCAGACTGGACAGTTCGCATTTGGGATAAGAGGAAGGAGTGAGTGGTTCGACACTTGTTTTTTTTAGTTCGCTATTTGAACGGAAATTCCTGCTCGTGTTGTAACTGACTCAAGCAGAGCAGTACCATCGTCAGTGCGGCATTGTGAAACCCTGATTGTTTATTCCTGAGCTCCTGATTGCGCAATTATGATTCTTTTGACAATTCTCATAGGTTTGAGTGTATTTTTTCCGAGATCTTAGAGCGAAAGTGTACGGTGTTGAGTGTTCTTGATTCTTCCCGCTTTCTGTAATCACCAGTAAGCCGGTCTTATTAGCATGCTTTGCTTTATTAAGGGTGCACCCCTGTTTTTAAAAGTGAAATAAGTACTACACCTGAGCTTAGGCAAGACATCCGATGGTAATGAACTTTAGCTGCATGGATGTGAGGTGGAAGACGTTGCTTGGGCACCATACAGCAGCACGGTGATTGCGGTGGTTACTGGTAATGGAGATGTTTTGGTGTTCGATCTGGCCGAAGACAGATTTTCGCCGATTTGTGTGCAAAAGGTGACGAAATGGAAACGAAGTCGGTGCACGACCATAGCTTTCAATCCGGTGGATCCCATCGTTTCTGTGGGTGACAACAGGTGAATAATTCAATAATATCATAATTTAGCTTTTAAAACACCCGAATGGCATACTGTGTTGCGAACAGGGATGAAGCCACATCTAATTTTTTGCGAAGAGTTGTTTTCGAAATTGATTCCGAGTGCAAATATACAATCTGTCGTTGGAGGCCACGGGAGATCTTTTGTTCGGTATTTATCGGAATTTTGTTGACTCCTAAATAAATTGCTGAAGAAGGATATTCTGGTAGAGTCTTGATTGATATGTGGTACCTAATTCAAAATTATCCCTTCGCG